AGACAATATAAAATTAAATTCACAATAAGTTAAATTAATGAATTAACTTTAACATCAACAAAAAAAAACTGATTATAAAATTGAAAAATTGGTGATACTTTTATGTTTAACGAGTTTATTTTTGTATTTAGTACATATTATAGGAATAAACTCATTTATATTTAATGGGTGATTTTTCTCTCAATTGAAAATAATTTGTACAGATATTATTTGGTTTGAATCTATTATTTGGTACGAGAATATTTTGATATTTACCCAAATATTCATTTTAATATTATAAGTTATAACTTTTATATTGAAATGTAATTTAACATAATTTTAGTGAATTTTAAAAACATATTCATCTTTTATGTGTGTTAAAGTTTTACGATTTTAATTTTCTTTTTATTTTTGTGTAAATTGTAATGTCCCAAATTTTTGTAATATTAATTATTATTATTATTATATATATATTTATTTATTTATTTTCTGTGTGTGTGAATGGGTGTTAGAATGTGCACTTGAGTGTGTGATGAGTTTGATATGATAATGATAAATATTGAATGATGATGAAAATATACGTGTAAATATGTGTATGTTTGTAAAATGTGATGTGGATGCTGATTGTGCATCGAGATTGATTTTTTTTAACTATTTGAAATAGCGTAAGTATATGGTGCAGGGTGTTCTAGCTATAGCGAGATGTGTCTAGCTGTAGCAAGAAGGCCCTGAGAGAAAAGCGTGAAATTGTCGCCTTCTCGCTGTAGCGAGCAAGCGGCAGTGAGAGGTACATTTTTGGATACAGTCTTGCTGTTGCAAGATTCTGCAGAAATTAGAATGCAGTTTCCTATGAGATTTTTGCTGTAGTAACAAGGGACGTCGTAGTGTCGCAACCAGAGGGATATTTGAAGGGGTTAAGGTTTAAAAAATTCATTTATCATTCCTCTTTTTAAAATCTCTTCGGTTCTCTCGATTCAAAACCTTATTTCACAGATTAAATTGTCTCCAAAGCCTTTTAGGAGCCATATTGGAAGTTGAAACTGTGTTTGAAATGCTTGGAGATAAATTTTAATGGTTAAAGTTTTGGTTTCTCATCCTCATTCTCTATTTTCTTGATTTCCCTTAGTTCTCATGGGATTATTCCATATATTTAGGACAAAATTCGTGTGAATAATACTTCCTTAGTTGATTTCGTGTGCGGGTCTTCAATCTAAGGTAAGAGGGAGACTTTACCTTATCTCATTGTGTTGAATGCCATGTAATTTGCTATGGATTGTCATGTTGATGGTTTGAAATGTGTGTGTTTAGTAGAATTGATTGATTGTAGTGAAATTGTGGTGGAAAGATCGTGTGAAATTTAATACTTTCGATATTGAGAAATATTGGGCATGATGAAATGAATGGTTATAGGAATATTATGATAAAAACTGTATGATTGAACCTTGTGTGGTGGAATATGGGCATATGTGTTTTGTGCTATGAATGAATGTGGGCATGTGTGTCGTGTGCGAATATGAATATTGTACGTGGCTGAAATGTGTGAAGGGACATGTTAAATGCGGTTGTGATTATATTATGAATAGTTCAGCGATACACTGGAGGTGTGTAAGATGAGGACGGTAGAAAAACTTTGGAGAAGAGAGAGTGGTGGTGACACCAACAGTGAACGTGGGTGCATCATAGGCCACACACTCTCCTTCTGACTAGACTTCTAATCGACACCTTTGTCAAGCGACTCGTGACCGCACACAAGTATCTGTGAGGCGGGGTAACCGACAACCATCTATGGTGTGAAACTGTGATCACAGTGTCACAGTGGACGTGACTACGTGCAATGAGCGCACATATGTATAAAATATTGTTGAGGCAGTGAGTGCATCCGTTGTGAACTAAAATAGAATGCATGAAAAGTGTTGTTTGTGATTGATTATACTTCTGTAGAATATGTTAGAAATTATGTGAAGTGTGTGAGGTGAGTCTCTATGTTTGTGTGTATTGGATAATGTAGAGTACTTACTATTATATTTATTTTTCAAGTAACCAAAACGATCAGCACCGAGTTCAGTAAAAAAATAAATGATACTGCTATAGGACTTAGATTTTATTTTAAACATATGATGTATATGGATTAGTTCTGTAGCAGTTATTTAATCAAAATTTGTAAATCATTATTATTTGAAATACTTTATCGAAACTATGCGTTGGAAAAGTCTATTTAAAATGAAAATTTTATTATTCTCATTTTGTAAAATTTATTATTTTAAAATTAAATTTAAAGTGTTACATAAATCAATGTTTTTTAATCCATACAGTAGACACCTTAAGTAACATATATTATATTATTAATACAAACAATAATACATTTAAAAAAATAGATTTTGTAAATTATAGTTACAATAATAAAAAAATATATTAGCTATAACTTATAACTAGTCCGGCCTATATATTAACTAAATATTTGGGAAATTTTGATGGAAAATAAAGTAAGCAGTAAAAAGCAAACATTTCAACAGAAAAAAATTCCTCACATAATTTGTAGAAATTAATTATGAAATGGTAGATATGTAATAGGTCTATAACTATAGGTAGTATAAAGGTATTTATAGACTGATAGAATCTGTCCCTAATATATTTTTTGTCCAAGAAAATGTGGGAAAAATCAATGGGGAATAAAGTAAATAGTAAAATGCAAACATTCTGAAATAATAAGTATGAATAGGTCCTGCAGTCTAAAATGAAGGAATTTCAGTACTGAGATGCCAAGATGGATGGCGTGCTTTACTAGTTATTCTAAAGCAGAAAATCTTAGTTTTACACAAATTTCTTGTCCATCAATTCATTTAGCTCATGAGAAGGTCCTTGTAAATAAGCAATTTTAATCCTCAAAATAATTTGGGTGCTTTACGACAAGATCTTGTAGGAAATCAGAAATAGTTGAAGGAATGAAAGGTGGGTATTTTGTAGGACAGTTGGATCCTGTGCCATGAGAATCCAAATTGCATTCTATGGTTTACCTTCAAAGAAGAGTAAGTGCTAATGGTTAGACGTTCAAAAATGAAAATGAATGGTCCTCCTTATAACTGCATACATCTTAATATTCACAAAGAAAGGTTAAGTATGTGTTTATTAAACTTCATTTTAAATTTTTATAACATTCTATTTGACCCAATTTGTTTTTTTAGTCAAAAAACTTTTTCTTATCAGTTTAATTATTTTTCTGAAAAGCTTTATTTTAAGTAGGGTTTGGATTTATAATTTTTTAATTTGTTATTATTTTTCTTATATTTGTCTTCATTATTTAATTCGAATTCCTTTTTTATGTTTTGAAACTCTTAACATTCTTCTATGAACTTGTCAAATATCATTTTTATAATGAAAAATTACTGAAATTATTAAAAAGATACATTTATTTTATTTTATTTAATAAAAAATTTTAAATGTAAATTATTATCCTAATTTTAAGATGATAAATTATATATTTTGAATAAATTAAAATTTAAAACTAATTCTTAAGTTATGACCAAGTAATTAGATATATTTTTAGTTCATTTTAGAATTATTTATTTCAATAATTAATTTCACTAAATAAATAAATTTTTGAATTAATAGTCAAGATTGTATGAGTTAAGTATTTTAGTTTCTAAAAAAATTATTTAGAAGAAAGATTTGAATAAAAAAACATTTTTCATCTATTATTATAAATGATATACAATTTTATTAATTTAAAATTTAAAAAATTATGCCACCTCCTTTAACATTCTCCTTCCAAACAATTTTTAAAACTATACAACCTTGAAAAATTAAATATTTATTATTTAAACCAATCCTTATTAATATCAAATCTTAACCTTTAAAATACAATATTGTTATTTTTCACTATAAAATTATACCATCATGCGATCAAAGTATTATTATTAAAATAATCTGACTTATTGATTATTATTATTATTATTATAACTAAACCTTTTTTTTTGTTAGAGATATTTAATATATATGTGTGTGTGTGTCACCGCATGATGATGACACGGGACTACATCTAGTTGTATCCTATTGGCAAGCTGGAATACAAAGCAATATGTTTAATATTATTTTTCGTTATCAATTAATAAAAATTTAAAATAAAAAATGAATCAGTAAAACTAAAAATAACCATATTCGTGGCGAGTAAAATATATTTTACCTTATAAAAGAGCTTTTAATAAACAAGTATCTAAAGTCAAAACCGAATCCAATTGTTTTTTCAAGTAAAAGAATTTGAGGTTATAAAATGGAAATGGCTTTTCATGTAAAATGAAGTACTGAAAATCTCCCCGGATTAACGACACCAACGTGACATCTGAATCCGCATCGCCATCCATTATCAAGTCCTCCAAGTTCCATGGCATATGCTGACTAATGACTATGTTTTACAAAGTTTCCATAGGTTTTGCATTCTCTTATTTATCTGCTTCTTTTTCTTCAATATTATGAAGTGACCAAATAGCTCCATGATTTGACATTTTGTTCTAGCTATCAATGTTTTTGATGTGGAAGATAAAAGTAGTATTAGATGCCATGTTTCTGCCACACAGTTCCACCCAAAAGATGCTTGTCACCAATCGAAAAAAGTTCCAATGCGGAAAAGGGTAAGAGAACGTGAACAAACATGAAGAACATTACCTGTTTCGGGTCTAGATGAAATGTAAATATAAAACCAATGGACTAAATTAACCTATGATACTTATATCAGGGTCATGATTCATGAACCAACCGGAAAATGATTCCCTCATAATCTTCTTCTGTGGAGCAGGAATAGATATCAGTCCAAAGTAAACATGTGGAACAGCATATTCCACACTCACGTTAAACTACCATCAGAGGTAGTTGCTTGTAAAGTGTTCGATTTGAAACTTAGAATCTAATTTTTCTTTCATACCACTTATTCTGGAATATATATAAACCTACGTGTAGCTCAATGTTGCATTGCAACACTTCCTGAAAAATAGAAAGATAGAGCCCTGAGACAGAATTGCATTGCTGAAATGAAGAATTGTGATGAATGGAAACCTTTCCTAGTAATGATAGGAATTGATTTTTCTTTAACCGTAGTGAACATTCTTCTCAAGAAAGTTCTTGAAGAAGGAATGGACCATTTGGTTTTTATCACATATCGTCTATCAATTTCTACCATATTTTTACTCCCAATTAGCTACTTTAGGGAAAGGTAGGCACCCTGAATTCTTGTTTTTTTCCCCTTGTGAATCATGGGTATGAGACTAATTCTTTCGAAGCAAAAAGAAAGCGAATCTTGCTTCAGTTCCTTTAGACTTTTAGAATATATATATATATATATATATATTGTTAGCATGAAATAACGAAGTTGCAATGATGAATGACTAGGAAGTCACCCACTTGAGACCTAAACTCGTTTTGACTTTAGAATCAAGAATGATAAGCTAATGATCATTACTATACAAGATGAATGCACAAATGGACCCATTTATAGAGAGATCTTAATAGCTGTATTTTCTTGCAGAAATGGAAGGCCACGGCTCACATTTCAAATTCTATGTTTCCTTTTCTTCAGTGCCATTATTGGGTTAGTCATGGAAATGCGATCTTTCTTTGTGATTACTATTCTCAATAGTTCCTTATTTATGTGTTATGGATAACATGATATTAGGAAAACACGTAATGAATACTTTGTTGTAGGGCATCCGTCACGCAATATTTCTTCCTTTTGGGGATACAGTACACCTCAGCTACCTTTGCTTGTGCCTTTGTCAACATGGTGCCGGTGATCACATTCATTATGGCATTACCATTTGGGTATGATATTAAACTAAGAAAACGTACACAACTTATTAGTAACTATCATCACTCAGTTGTAGGATAAATGCATCATTCTTTCCTTTTTCTTTTGATTCTACCACAGATTAGAAACTGTGAACATCAAATGCAGTAGTGGGAAAGCAAAGATTATTGGTACATTTGTATGCATAGGAGGGGCATTGTTGTTGACACTCTACAAAGGAAAGCCCTTGTTTGATAATTCTCACCATCAATCTGCAGTTCCTCCACTAGCCATGAGATCTGAAATGGATCAAGCTTCTAGTACTAGAATAACAGAGAAGTGGACCATTGGTGTAATAGCTTTGATTATGGGAACCCTCTTTTGGTCTTCTTGGTTTATTTTACAATCAAATATAAGTAAGAAATACCCATGCCAGTATTCTAGCACTGCCATCATGACCTTCTTTGGAGCCATGCAATCAGCTATTCTTGGCTTATCCACTGGCAGGAACTTGTCCTCGTGGTTCCTCAGGGGAAAAATACAAATAATCACTGTTCTGTATTCTGTAAGTACTCTCTTTTCAGTTAGACACAGAATAAAAGTTTGGCTAGCTTACAGAGAATCACCCATTTTCTGATTCGAGGGTTATTTTGCCAAAAAAAGAAAGAAAGGATAAAATATTATTTTAGTTATTGTAATATAATTAAACTTAGTTTTAATTCTCAAAAATATATTTTAAAATTAATCTATATTATTATTTATTAATGATGTGACATGTATGTAGCTATGTTATGTCACATGTTACCTCAATATAACGTACTAAAATGTAACTGCTAAGTAATAAAAAAATAATTAAAAAATAAATAAATTTTATAAAGACTAAAGTCAATAACAATTTTTTTGAAAGATCAAAAATAAAAAAGTTATATTTACAAAAATTAAAAACATATTTAAGTTAAAAGAATCAAACAATAGGCATACTCCAAGTTATGGCACACTAGAATATTAGAAAATCTTGGGTAGAGTTGAGTGTGAAAAATGATGTTTGCAGGGGATAGTTGGATCAAGTGTGTGCTATGTGGGCATGGCATGGTGCGTGAAGAAGAGGGGTCCTGTGTTTACAGCAGCATTCAGCCCTCTTGTTCAGATAATGTCAGGCATGATTGATATCCCGGTTTTGCATGAGCAGCTTCATCTTGGAAGGTTAATATTATATATTATTGTAGTTTAGCACTTAGCACCCGCTCAAGTTCTTGTATAGAAAACCATAAATCTGATTTCAATGGCTGTGCTTGTTGTTTATTTAGTGTGATGGGATCCATGTTGGTGATGATCGGGTTATACATTCTTCTATGGGGTAAGAGCAAGGAGATGCAGAATGGCATGTCTCAGTTTGCCCAAGAAGTTGAAGAAATAAAGGAACAAGAGCCTCATGTATAACATATTTCTGTCTCCTGTGATTCAAGGTGTCAATGAAATCAACTTGCATTAATATATATATGTCCATCAACGCTAATATATAATATTTTCACACTTCTTTTTCTTAAATCTCTTGCATTTAAAACCAAAAAACCAACACCTATCTGGCCTGTATATATACACTCCATTGAGTTGAAGATAAAAAGAGGAATGAAAGAAAATTTTAAAAAGCCATGACTAATATGAAAAACATCACTAAATTTTCATTAAAGCCAAGTATTTTTCTCTGCCACTCTTACAAATTAATTTGTCTAAGCTTCTTTAGACTTTTTACAACAAATATTCCTTGCTTAAGGCACCACTCTTACAAAGACAATAAAGAAAAAAGTATCTTATAGGTGCATTTTCATTCACCGTTGGAGTGTTTAATACAAACTTAATTCAAAAGATAACCTCACAAAATTTATAAAAAAAGTATAAATAAATAATTTAATATATGTAACACTATATATAATAAAAATTATAAATTTTAAAACCATCCAATATATTAATGTTATTAGGCATTATAATTTTTAAAAATAATATTTATTAATTTTTATTTTATTTTTCATCTAGTTTAATTTGAATTGACTAAAGTCACACATTTGAAAATGATAGATGAGTTTGTTACTAAAAATTTTTTGTATATACAGAGACTCAAACTTAAAATCTTGCTTAAATAATATCAAATTACTTAACACTTGAATTAACTTTTATTATTATAATATTTATTAATTTATCACTATGTGTCATATTACATTACATAAATTATAAGAATTGAGGAATAAAAGGTTTGAAAAGTGAATAATTGTTTAAATTCTTTGCTTCTCTCTACAATTGCTATAAAGTATATATTGTGCCTTTCATTTGTTCTTCTTAAAAATGTTGATATTTTATTATTTCTTCGTTGAGAGAACATACCATTTTTTGATATTTCATTTATTTAACTTTAAAAATGCTACAAATATGATTGAAGCTTTTCTTTTAAAGATATTTGGATATTTCATTTATTTAAATATTTATTCAATAATTTTTTAATCATAATTCATGCTATAAAAGTAAAATAAACTAAAAATTACTCATAAGTATCATAAATTATTTTTTATAATTCTTTATAAACTATTTTTAATGAGGCTTACGTGAAAACATTTTTAACATGACTTGTCAGTTGTAACAAAACATTTATTTTAAATTCTTTACACATCTTATAACAAGTTTATTTTTATATAAATAATTTTTATTAGGTTAAAGTAAATATTATTTTGTATAAAAACTCTATTAATATATGTTGCAAAATGTGCAAAATTAATTCAAATTTCTAAACAAACAGACTATTGATCTTTTTTATATATAATAATGATCTAACAAAGCATTTTTGACATTATATGTTCAAATGACATTTAATATTATTTTTCTCACATTTCTTAGACACATGAGATAAGTGAAAAAAGTAGTAAAAAAGAATAAAGAAGAAAAGAAAATACAAAACCAAATACATAATATGATAAAAGTTTTAAAAAATAAAAATGATGTAGAAATAATATAAAAATATTAATGATATTATAATAAAAATAGGAAAATATAATTTTTATATCATCATTTAATATTATTTTTATAAAAAAATTATTAATAAATTTTATTAATATCCATTCTTAAAGTTAAATTTTAAACATTAAAATGTGATAATTTTTTTATTGAAAATAAAGTATTTATTATATTAACAAATAAAAATATACTAAATAATTGATTAATAAAAAATATTATTATTGACTATTTAAATCCAATTTTAAAGATTGAGATTAGTAATATTTTATTATTAATTACTATAAAAATTGATCAAAATTAAACTTAAAAAAAGGAAATGGAATATGATGTGAGCAGAGTGGAGGGTGAAACAGAGAATGCATTCCCTACGGCGGGTTCGAGTGGGGCTTTGCGCGGTTTGATTCATCCATCGATGGCGGAGAAGGAGAAGGTGAAGTTGAAGCCTCGGCGACTGAAAGGTCACGACGACAGCACAACCTGCTGCATTGCCTCCCGTCAACGCTCTCATCTCATCGTCACTTCCGGTGACGTAAGCTCCTTCCCTTTCTTCTCCATTCTCTTTTTTATTTACTTCATTGCCAATCACTAGGGTTTCTTTTCATTTCACCTTCTTTATTATTATTATTATTTGAACTGTCTCTCAAAACAGGATGGTCGTGTTTGCTGGTTTGACTTGCGATGCCCTGATGTGCCGCAACTGGTTATGGATGTTAGCGTGGAATCCGTTTCATCCCTCTGTTTCAACTCAGCGATGGAAGATATGATTTATGTATCCTCTGGAAAGGAAATCAAGTGTTTTGATGTGCGTCTGGTAAGCATTTTATGCCCTCCCAAGCCAAGATGATTCATTTCAGACCTTTCTATGAGACACTCTATATTATGATATATTTACTATTATATTCATTCTCTGTATATTATGTTCTGTGCTCAAGGCTGAGGCCAACTGGAAGCCATTGGAGAATTATAACTACAACAAAGAGGAGATAAACAAGGTAAATACTAGATACCAGATAGTGGGACTTGTATTCAAATATAATGTTATGCACTTGTTAGTTCTTGGTAGATAAATGCTAGCATAACTCAAGTGAATGGAAAATGTTGCAAACGTGGAATGTTTTTCTTTCTTTTTTTCAGGCTTGCTTGTTTTATTTCTCTACACTTAATTTTTCCATTAGTCACTTCGCTCGTATTCTATTTGACGATCAAGTATTAAATTGAGTTGGGACTTTAAGTGATTGAGTAGTTAATTAAGTTGTAAGAGGGAGTGGTTGAGAGAAGTTGTGTCCCAGTTGGTGGTTCTCAAAGACCAGGAAACAGAGCTGCTAATGAAAAGGTGAATAGGAGAGGGGAAAAATTCAATGGCTGGCGAAGAGAGGCAAGGCTAGTTGATGTGGGTCCATATATAGGACATAGAAATCAAGGTCGAATGAAGCAAATATTTGTATGTTTCTTGCATATATAAGAATGATGTATGTCCAAGATGCCTATGATGTTATCTTAGCTTTTTAATTTGAGATTTTATATGGAATTTGCTTAGTTTTTGGTGCTCTTGAACAGAAATATTATTATGAATGTATGTGATTGTGTTGCTTTCTTAACCCACACAGGATATTGAATTATTAAACTAGAGTACAGCACTATTCCTGAACTTATAGTTTCTTGTACATTCCTTCATTCGTTGTAATGTCAACTGATTCTATCCTTGATATGGAAGTGAACTTCCGTAGTTAAAAAATCTGTCATAATACAACTATGTGTCTGCATTTGCAGGTTGTATGCAACTCAAAGTCCTCATTTCTTGCTGCAGCTGATGATAATGGTGAGGTGAAGGTATGCCAGATATTAATTCATCTTGTAGACTTGTACTTTATGATTTCCCCTCTGTAATATCTCATTTATCAGCTCTTATGAATATATCCTTTCCACTTGAAATGCATTAGAGATGTAACAGTCATTATCTATAATAGTATAATTCTGATCTGATATCTTTGCAATTTCAAGATCAATGGAGTTTCTGATGTGTGAAACAGAAGAAGACACACTGAATAAAATATAGAAAGAAATATGCAGATACCTGAGGCAGTTTGACAGTGCCTGGTTTCTCCCTTAAATTTCCTCACTTTCCTGCTTGCCTTTTCCTCCTTCTGCCTTACCCCTTTGCCCGTGGCAGATTCTTTTTCTTTCCTCCAACTACCCTGCCATGTGTGCTGGTGGTTGCATGGAGTAAGTAGTAACATTGTTTTCTCTACTCAGATGGGGTATTAATCTCGTGCTTCTCCTTCCTTTCTCCATTTCCCTAGTCCTTTGTGGCAGTAGTACATGTGCAGTGTGCTAAATAAAGCCATTCAAGAACATCCACCTAATGCCTTAATATTTTGGGCTTATTGGTTCTTGAGATTATGCTTGCTGAAAATATATTTACTAAATCATTACTTTGACTGCAGAGATTGTGACTCTCCTTCGTTGACATTAACTAAATTTCCTGACTGCCTAGTAATATTGATCTATTCTCTCTATGAAACCATAAGCCTGCATTGTTTTCTACATAGTTTTCTAACTGCCTAGTAATGCTGATCTGTTCTCTCAGAAGAAACCATATGGCTGCTTGTATTTTAAAGCTTTGATACATGACATAAAACATGTAAATATACAGTTTGTTTTGTAATTTATGGTTTGAAAACTGATGTGGCTTTTCTTGTGTAATGCGATTTGCTATTTGTTGTTTTTTTATACACTTATAATTCTCCCATTTCTTTAATTTAAGAAAAGCCAAGTTAACATTTAATTGTTCTATATTTTCATTTTCTTTATATTTGATTGAAAATTTCTTTTGCAGATAATTGACATTCACCAGCAATGCCTGTATAAAACACTACGTGGTGGTCATACAAGTGTATCCTTGCTTTTTCTGTCAGCCTACTAATATTTCATCTTTCCCCTCTCCCGGCCCTTTCCTATTATTTTGTTTTTCTATCATTAAGAAGTGATTTGATATTATGGTATTTTTGTTTATTTCACCTTGACCTTATGTTGTAGATATGTAGCACTGTGGAATTCCTTCCTTGGAGATCTTGGGAAGGTATTTAAATGTAGTCCTGCTTATTTTTTCCATATGAAAATCTGTCTCCCCTCCCCTCTTAGTAGAATATTTGGTTTTCAATGACAGTATGATATGATTGTTATGTTGAGAGAAGACTTGTATAGTTGTCTTTGTAGCTTTTGGTTGTGTTAAAATATCCATTCATCTTATTGCAAGGAGACATGGGAATTTGTATCAAACTCTACATACTAACTATAAACATGAAGAAGGCAATTGTTTAAAGCTGTAAGTCTCACAGTAATGCTTTGTGTGGATACCTAGGTCCAAGACCTAACAACTCTACATTCTAACTCTTTCACTCTATTATGCCCATGAAGCTTTCTGTATTTAAACAAATCCATCGCACATAAATTTATATATCCGTGTTATAACCATTGACTTTAGCAAACTGACTATAACTCCTGGCTTTGTTATTGCTTCTGCCCTTGTCACAGATTATCGTATTAGAAAACCAACATAGAAAGCACAAATAACCATTCACTTCTAAAGACAAAATGTAAAGTATTACTAATTCCTGAGTTAGGTTGCTGTGATTTTCTTGTTAATAAAAACATCCCACATGTAGAGTCATTTTTGGGTTGATTTGAATTCTTCTTAAAATTGTTATTAATTTTCTGATAATAGTTTAAATTTGTGCTATTGTGGGCTTGTTTGTTTTACTTAAAAAATAAAATCTTCTCTTCATGCCCACATTTCAATATAAAATCTACGGCTAAGATTAATCAGGACACATTTCAATTACATTTAATGGTTCAAAATTAATTCAATCAAAACTAATTCTATCCAACTTTAAAACAAATGAGTGCTTCACCTCAAAATTTGTGCACTCATTAATAGTATAATACACATGCATACACAACCCATGTACACCACTGATGATTAAAAGGTGTAAAAATAATATTTAGGAAAGTTTTTACAAAATTACATGTAGTCCTAATAATATGAATTAGATGTATTAATCAAAAGAATTTAAATGAGCTCAAGTTTCTATATAAAATTAAAGTTTTGGAAACCCTGGTATAAGGTTTCTATGCTTTTGTGCAAGTTTCATTTAGTATTCTAGAAATTTGCATCCACTGTCCGTATCTATAAAAGTTGACCCCCATTTTTTTTTTTTATATATTTTCCCAGTAATCAGTGGAGGTCTTGATTCGATGCTCATGTTGTGGGACTTCTCCAAAGGGCGCCCCTACAAAGTAGTGGATTTTGGTATATTTTTTCATAAGTATCCAAGTTTTGCATGAGATTAGTTAAATTATCTAAATTAGACCCTTCTTTAACTTATGTGATTTGACATTTGCAATTATATCAAGCCCTCACATCTCTTATTATTTTGTTGAGTGCATGTAGCAAAAGAAAAAACTATAATGATACACTGATAAAAATGAAACCAATGTTAGGGCACTTAAAAATATTTTACAAATGAAATAAAACACAAAAATGTTGGTTGGTGACTAATGACTATAGAAATTGCGTCACAAGCAGGTAGGTTTTTGAAGGAAAAAAAAGTTCTGACTGAAGTCTGGATGTTTTGGATATATGTATACTTGGGCGTAAACAAAATTTAATAAACAGGTGAAAGAAAAACTACTAATTTGTTATTCCTGTCCTTTCTTCGCTGCAGCTACATTTGATGCGAGTAGTGGTGTTGCCGGCCGGTGTGTCAATCCCGCTTTTGTTCATGCGATAGCTGTTCCAGAAGTTGACATGCTAGATAAATTAGACAAAATATGTGCTGTTGCAAGGGGCGATGGAGCTATTAATGTGATTAATATTGAAACAGAAATGGGTGCTATAAGGTCAAAAAGCTCTTCAAATTCGCGAAAAGGATCACATTCCAGATCCAAAGATGGTAGCTCATCTAGCAATACAGATGCAGATCAAAGTGGAAAAATGAGGTTGCATTTGGATTACACTTTGGGTGGCCATACTGCAGCCGTTTCCAGCCTGTAAGTCAATTCCCTATCTACAATTTAGTAACACTAACACTAAATTCATTTTCCCCTAACTCATGGGTGACATAGGGCGTTTTCATTGTTTGGGGAGAGAGGGAAATTCTTAATATCTGGAGGAAATGATAAATTGGTGAAGATATGGAATTGGTCCTGTCATCCAGATGCCGGGTTAAGTGACGACAACAATACTATCCTGCATTTGAATATCGATGTGCCCCGAAAAGTGAGTTTTGTAATAAAATTTCATTGGCATTTTTGGATGTTGGTTACTTGTTCTGCTGCTGCCAGATATGTGTATTGGGCATTCATTTTATACACTTCATTGGGCAGGTCAATTGGCTGTGTACGACCTCAGCTGATACAGACAACCTTGTTGTGTGTGACACATCCAAAGTAGTAAAGATCTATTCGATAACATAGTTCAAAGCTTGGTGATGGGTTGTCGGAACAAATATTCCCGGAGAGCAATCAAAATCCAAAAAGACAATACGCAATGTTGCCCTTATTTTGAAGATCGTGGTCCCTGACAGGAACCGTCCTAAAGACACAGGGTTTTAGTCTAGGTATACCTGCCTTGCAATTTTCTCCCCGATTAAGTGACCTACAGAAACTGTTCAATGAACTAACTATACACGCTTATTCACATGGTATGATTAGGGCCATGTTTACTTCCACTTTTCCAATTTTCTATGTTATTTTTTCCTCTTCTATTTGGGCATCGTTGCCTGCCAGTTATAATACCGTCAACATTTATTATTATAACACGGTGAAGTGTGGGAATCAAATTGAAAATGAATGTCATTAAAAATATTAGGCTTGTTTGGTATAAGAAAATATTTTTATTTTTAATTATAAAAATGTGTTTTAAATATTTTTATAGAAAATATTAAAAATAAAAAAAGTTTTAATTGCTTTTTAAAATTAAAATTAAATGTGTAATTGAAAACTAGAAACAAGAGATCTCAGTTATTTTAGTTTTTACACAACTATTTTTAGTTATATTTTAATGAAGTTCCAAATTGTTTGTTTAGGAATCAAACTGAAAAATAATACTATGCATAAGGATTGAAAAAGTATAGAGTACATATATAATATTTCAGAGGATGCGCCGAATCATTTTTAGTTTCCACAATTTGCAGGAGAAATGGCATATTCGATGTATATATAGCATGATCTGACGTTCGAGCAACATAGAATTGAAATATATTTATTGCTAACAACAAACAAACCAACTGATGTAAAGCTCTTCCTTCAAAATTGAAAAATTAGAGGTAAATGCATCGAGCTAAATTAATTACTTGAACCTTAAACTGAAAAAATGTTTAGGCTCAGTTTTTATTTTATTTTTTCGTCTGAATTATAAGTAAAATTTGAGAAAGAATTGAACATGTATTAGTTAAACCAATTTGTCCGTTGATATATTAAAACTCATTTTGTTTAAAGAAATTTAATTTAAAAGTTATATTTTGACTTTTCAGATTTCTGAGCTTTCTTGAACTATCCAACATAATAATTAGTAAATAATTGTATGTCAACAGATGGAGTTTAAATAATAAAATAAAATAAAATAATGTTTAAACATAAAAAATAAAAAAATTAATTTATATTTAAAGAAACACAATAAAGCTATACATAATGTTTTTTTATTGAAACTAACATGATCAAATATACTAATAATATTAAATTTAATAATTTTTAATTAAAAAAATTCTATTTATTAATTTTTATTCTTTTTGCATATCCTGAAGGATACGTTAAAAAAAACAATTTTAGAAATTTACTATAACATCCATAACATATTACTATTGCAATATGATCACTCTGAAAATTGAAAAAATGGAGCTTTTATTAATATAATAAACTCGGAGGGATCTTTTTCAGCTAAACTTTTCATTTTTATTTTTTGTTGGGGAGGAATGGGGGAAGGTAGAATCGAAACTTTGGTTTAAATTTACTCATAATAGCTCGGGATTTTTGTGTTGAAAATTCACTGATAGATTTTCACTGTATGATAAATGATTTCAATTTAAAAGATTAATTCGCCGAAAATTTTAATACATGACAAATAATTAACATTGTAGTTGATCTTGACTTCCTTATACTTTCTAAAATGAATATATTGCTGAGTTCAATTGATGTACTCGACACAACTGTGAATTGAAAGCCTTCCTTATACTTCCCGCAATAAATTTATACATTGTTCACTTCACCAAAAATCAGATGTTGCTTCTCATCTCTATGTCTATGTTATGTGCCACTGAAACTATGACACTAACTCCCCAACCTCAAAAAAGGAACCCACCACCACCACCACCTTGCACATCCTTTGCATTGCTACACAATTGCTTTCTCCATTATCCAAAAGGTCTTAAACCCTTTCATATAAAACCCATTTGATCACATATTGAGAAGCAAAGGGTCAGGAGAGAGATATAGTCTCATTTTGGCCCTTTGAAAGAAGGTGGTGCAAAACCATACAATGATGCAGTCAGAAGGTGTTCCCCTATGCAACACTTGTGGGGAACAAGTGGGACTTGATCATAATGGGGAGGTGTTTGTGGCTTGCCATGAATGCAACATCCCAATTTGCAAGGCTTGTTTTGAGCTTGAAATTAATGAGGGCCATACAGTCTGCTTGAGGTGTGACACACCCTATGAAGGTAACACCTCAATGTCTAGATTATATTTCTAAATTCTAAGTAAAAATTGATCATTTGCTTCTGTTTACTATGTGGAATTGTAACTCGTTTATGATTCTTATTTCAATCTCCATGCAATGATAATTTGAGAGTCGTAATCTTGGGAGGCTAATTAAAAATTTTACATTTAAAGAATCATTCAACAGAGTAATAGGGTATTAATCTCATTTGCAATAACAATTGATAAGTCTAAAGTACAAACTCTATCCGATTTTTCATGTATGGATAGTTGAATGTTGCACTATCAAAAGGTACATTTAAAAGGGATAAAAAAATTTGTTGTAAAATCTTGACATCCTAAAAATTGTACCAATAATGTTGTATGTGGTAAGGTTTGTGCTAATTTGAAATGATAATAGTTATTTTAGAATACTTTTAATATTGATTACTTTTAGTTATTTATCATTATTCTCTTTATGTTGTTGCAATTTGCTCATCAAATCTTTTAGTATTTTTGTTAATGCATTACTACACAATTTAAAATAACCAAAATTTTACTAATCTTTTGTTTGAAAAAAAAAAATTAAAAACTCGTGAATCGAACTAGTTAATTTTAATCTGTGAGAAAGAGGCAAGGTAAAATCCGTAACATTGTTTGATTTATTTATAAATCCTTTGAATAACCGTTTCTTTCTTTTTTTTACTGAATCCTTTTTCATTAAGTAAAATTATTTCAAAAGAGTGGTTGGTTTTCTCGTTCAATGCATGTCTTATTATTATTATTATTATTGAGAAATATCCTATGATTTTTTTCCTTTTGTATTCTTAGGGAGAACAAAGGATGATGAAGGCGATGACATGAAGATTCATGAAAATCAATCCACAATGACATCTGAAATCAGTAGCGCTCAGGTAATGATTTACTAGAAACTATCAGTTGCAGAAGTACTAAATAGCCTTAATTTTGTGGAAAAACAGGAAATGTGAAGTTATTATTTGGAACATTGTTAAGTTGGTTGCATTTGCACTTACAACTACATCTTGAATTTTGCAGGATGTTGGACTCCATGCTAGACATGTCAGTACAGTGTCCGCGGTCGATAGTGGTAAGTGAGAGACTTCAGAACATATTTTCCAGTACAATTTCATAAAAGTAAGCCTTGATAATTATCACAATATGATTTTTCTTGTAGAAGTAAATGTTGAATCTGGAAATTCAATCTGGAAAAATAGAGTGGAAAGCTGGAAGGGAAAGAATAAAAAGAACAAGAAGAAAAAGGATGCACCTAAGGCAGAAAATGAGGTCTCAATTCCACCAGAGCAGCAGATGAATGAAACTCGGTGAGTTGAATTTGAAATGAAATAATTTCCTGAAGTGGACAATAAAATCTAATATTTAACATAGGTGTTTTTGAAAGTTAACAATAATTTCCAGATCTTAATTGGATTAACATCAAGAGAAGGTATAAAATAGATATGCCCGAGTGCATAACTGTATTGGTAAATTGAGGTTTGGTTGTGGTAGAGATGTTTGGTTTGATACAGGGAATTAAACAAATAAAAGATTATTTTACAAACCCTGAGAGAATTCTTACATTTCCAACTTAAGGTAATGTCTGATAGTTATAAGCTGAAATCTAAATATAAACATTTCATCCTCCTAATGAGAGTGAGAATCAATCAAAGACATTTTTTCACTATTTCAACTGTCAGAAGCTGATGGCATGAGATCACTTGAGTGTTTTGAAAATATAATTTTACCAGCTTATCTATCGATTCTTCAGCGAGATAGAAAATAACAAACTGCAGCTCATAACATATTGAAAAATCTATTTTTTTAACTGGGCATAATATTAATTTCTGATCATTTATCAAATTGGTATAAACCATCTGATTGTACCTGCAAGACTATTGATTTAATTTTGAAAATATTTCATGCATTTACAACTGTTGTTGACAATGCTAATTGATTCTAAATCTGTCAAAAATTCATATATTTATTCTATAGTTCACATGGTGATATGTTGTTTTGCAGGCCCACAGAAGCTGCTGCTGAGCCACTTTCAGTAGTTATTCCAATGTCAAAATCTAAAATTGCACCATACAGAACTGTGATAATCATGCGACTGATAATCTTGGGCTTTTTCTTCCATTATCGAGTCACAAATCCTGTTGATAGTGCTTTTCCTCTGTGGTTGACATCTATCATCTGTGAGATCTGGTTTGCATTTTCCTGGGTGTTAGATCAGTTCCCTAAATGGTGTCCCGTCAATAGGCAAACTTTTATCGACAATCTGTCTGCAAGGTAATTCCTCAAAGCTGTGAAATATTTGGACGTGTTGTGCCTTGTGCTTTAAGGATGATTTGAACTCAAAAATCATATTGTAGAATGGGAATGCTTTTGCTTCTGTTTCTTTCCCAGTTGAGAATTGTGAAAGGCAACCTATAAAAATGAAATAATAAATTATACATACTATGAGTTAATTTTCATCTACTCCAGTGTAAAAAGGTTCTACATTACGATATAATCATGTGTTGTTACATCATTGAACGATTTGTCCATGATAAGTTGATAATTATTTACATAAGTTAAATGCTGTTAATGATAAGGCAAGATATTATTTAGAAGAGTGTGGAAGGTTTACCCTGAATCAAAATTACATTCACACAGTAATGTTCAAATTAAATGTGAGAGTTGATACTGAGCCTGTACTATGGATGTTGATGCTCACATCTATAATTCCATGATAGGTTTGAAAGGGAGGGGGAAGCCAATGAACTTGCTGCTGTTGATTTCTTTGTCAGTACCGTCGATCCTTTGAAGGAGCCTCCATTGATCACAGCTAATACAGTCCTTTCTATCCTTGCGGTTGACTACCCAGTAGAGAAAGTATCCTGTTATGTGTCAGATGATGGTGCTGCAATGCTCACATTTGAATCTCTTGTGGAGACTGCTGATTTTGCAAGGAAGTGGGTGCCATTTTGCAAAAAGTTTTCAATTGAACCAAGAGCACCTGAGTTTTACTTCTCTCAGAAGATTGACTACTTGAAGGACAAAGTGCAACCTTCTTTCGTGAAGGAGCGAAGAGCCATGAAGGTAAAGCATCTGAAGCTTCCTCCACTTGTGACTTAGAAAAAAACAACAGCTTTGGTATTCAGAATTTTAGATATATCGGAATCTGCTGTGTTCACCGCCTTGATTATCCAAATTGAATATCTAAGAGAACTTCTTCATGATTACCTTTCAATTCTGTTGCAGAGAGACTATGAAGAATATAAAGTACGAGTTAATGCTTTGGTATCTAAGGCTCAAAAAACACCAGAAGATGGATGGACTATGCAAGATGGAACGCCTTGGCCGGGAAATAACTCACGTGATCACCCTGGCATGATTCAGGTATATCCATTATTACTGTGTACAATCAATTCTCAATGTTGATGACAATAGGCATAAAGAACACTGTATAAAGTACTTTGAGCCATTCTGTGTGAAAAATATGCTTTGTATAATACTGAAAAGCTCATGTACATAAGATTGACTAGTTTAGTCCTAGTTATCAATTATTGGCACATGTGCATGTACCGCTTTTATCAAATACTGTGCTTATCATTTTCAGGTTTTTCTTGGACTCACGGGTGCTCGTGACACAGAAGGAAATGAACTTCCGAGGTTGGTTTATGTTTCCAGAGAGAAAAGACCAGGTTACCAACACCACAAGAAAGCTGGTGCTGAAAATGCACTCGTATGTATAGATAGCTCAATAGTATTTCATATAAGATCATTAACATTTTAAAATGCTTAATGTTTGTATATATGCAGGTGAGGGTGTCTGCAGTTCTCACAAATGCTCCCTTCATTCTCAATCTTGACTGCGATCATTATGTTAACAACAGCAAGGCTGTTCGGGAAGCAATGTGCTTTCTCATGGATCCAGAAGTTGGTAGAGAATTGTGTTACGTGCAGTTCCCCCAAAGATTTGATGGTATTGATCGTAGTGATCGATATGCCAATCGCAATACAGTTTTCTTTGATGTAAGTCAATATCAATCAACGATTTCATCTAGAGTCAACAGAAAAAAGTCGTCATATGTGGTAGAATATTTAACTCATCGAACAATTATTTGCAGAAATGCTCTGCCTAGTCATGAGAGGAGACAAAAATCTTTGCTTTTGTGTGTTTTGTGATCAACAGTCCAATTCCTTGGCATTTCTTTTGTTCCTATGTCTTTGTGTAACAATATTAATGTAGTGATTTCATCAAATACACACACAGTGCATGCATGCAATTCAGTGACTGTTAACCTTGAAGTAAAAATCATGGACCCAACTCTTGTCATTCCAACCCTCATCCCTATTTAATGGTCTTTAATTGTTCATTTCAGGTTAACATGAAAGGACTTGATGGCATTCAAGGACCAGTATATGTGGGAACTGGATGTGTTTTCAATAGACAAGCACTTTATGGCTATAGCCCACCTTCTATGCCCAACTTACCAAAATCATCATGCTGTTGCTTCCCCTCAAAGAAGTCCACTAAAGATGTCTCGGAGTTTCACAGAAATGCAAGGAGAGAACAACTTGATGCCGCCATTTTTAATCTCAAGGAGATAGACAGTAAGTTCAGTTCATTTTTAAGAGTCAATTTTAGAGAAACATATAGCAGAATCTTCTGTGTAATATTCTTCTGGTTTCTCTTCTTGTTGCAGATTATGATGAGCATGAGAGGTCAATGCTGATTTCGCAAATGAGCTTTGAAAAAACTTTTGGCTTGTCTACTGTTTTCATTGAATCTACACTAATGGAGAATGGAGGAGTGCCTGAATCTGCAGACCCCTCGATGCTGATAAAGGAGGCCATTCATGTAATTAGCTGTGGATATGAAGAGAAAACTGAATGGGGAAAAGAGGTTTGGCTTAAATGTTAATGCTTTTGTACAAAGTCCTTCAGATTCTTAGTTTTCCTATTCTCTTTTCCAATGATATTTTTGTTAATGTACTTATACCAATTAAAATCTCACTCAAGCTAGATGCATTATCTTCACTTTTTTTTTCTTAACCTATAGTTTTTTATTGATTAATTGAAACATCTTCTTGTCTTTTCAGATTGGTTGGATTTATGGTTCAGTCACAGAGGATATCTTAACGGGGTTCAAGATGCAATGTCGAGGATGGAGATCAATTTACTGCATGCCCTTGAGGCCTGCATTCAAAGGGTCAGCACCTATCAATCTGTCTGATCGGTTGCACCAAGTCCTTCGATGGGCACTTGGATCAGTTGAAATTTTCTTAAGTAGACACTGCCCCCTCTGGTATGGATTTGCAGGAGGCCGTCTCAAATGGCTGCAGAGATTGGCTTATATAAACACCATTGTCTACCCTTTTACATCCCTTCCTCTTGTTGCTTATTGCTGTTTACCAGCAATTTGCCTCCTCACAGGAAAATTTATCATACCAACGGTAATTTCCTCATCTCTATGTTTTCTCTAACAAAAAAGGTTATAAGAGAGTTGTTATCATTACTTCCATTTAATCCGCAAGGATAATCAGCCAATTGTCCTATGAAATGTAAATGGTTTGTAACCACACAACCAAATAAAACTATTTATAACAACAGACCAGTACATATAACAGGTTATACTAATGCCTCACATCTTCTTGTTCTTTACAATTTGACGCAGCTTTCCAACCTTGCAAGTGTTCTCTTTCTTGGACTTTTCCTCTCCATCATAGTGACTAGTGTACTTGAGCTGCGCTGGAGTGGTGTCAGCATTGAAGATTTGTGGCGTAATGAGCAGTTCTGGGTGATTGGAGGTGTTTCAGCCCATCTTTTTGCTGTGTTCCAAGGTCTTCTTAAGATGTTGGCAGGCGTTGATACCAACTTCACTGTCACTGCTAAGGCTGCAGAAGACACCGAGTTTGGTGAACTTTATCTTGTCAAGTGGACTACTCTCTTGATTCCTCCAACAACCCTTATTGTTGTTAACATGGTTGGTGTTGTTGCTGGATTTTCTGATGCACTAAATGGGGGATATGAGTCTTGGGGACCACTTTTTGGGAAAGTGTTCTTTGCCTTCTGGGTGATTTTTCATCTCTATCCATTCCTCAAGGGTCTCATGGGTCGCCAAAACCGCACTCCCACCATTGTTGTTCTCTGGTCAGTGTTGTTGGCTTCTGTCTTCTCTCTTATTTGGGTCAAGATAAATCCATTTGTGAACAAAGTTGACAGCTCAACCATCGCGGAGACCTGCATTGCCATAGATTGTTAAGTCACCACCACAAGAGTGCTTACCAAGACTTTTTGAAAATATGTAAATGATACATGGAATATTTATTTGATCCGCGGCTTGTGCAAGCAATAAGGATTAGTTCTTTCTTGAAGTGTGTAGCCATATTTTGAACTGAATGGAAAATCTGTAAGCATTGGCCTAACTACACACATCTATGTGAAAAAATTTTCTGTCCATTAAAGAATTGAAATACAAGCAAGTTCTTCAATTTTTTGTTACTATTTCTATCACCATGAATCATCCACCTATTTACCCGCTTATAACTCACCAGCATTACACTACTGAATCAACCTGTGCTTCACAAACTTCCTTGTTATTAGCAGCACTTCATCTTCCCAGCCTCTCAGCCCCTTGAACAACTTATGCAACTGTTTAATTGACTTTTCGGAAGCTAATTTTTTGGGCCAAAACCACCAAAAGGAATAGTATTAGGATACATAAACCACAATTTCTAAAGATACTTTAAGGATAATATTTTCAACCCAGTTTGGAATAGAGGTTATATTTTTCACTTAATACTAACGTAACATGATAAAATGTAGTGTATGTGCGGGTAAATTTCCCTCATAAAGTTTGGTTTGTCTTTTAATTTAAAAGGGTAGAAGAATTAGTTTTCTTGAGAGAGATAACACACATTTGAGTGGTCCTTACACTTCAGAAAGGATTAATCACTAACTAATGGATGGAAATACTTTTGGTTTGGTGAAAATAAACAGTCTTGAACTTTATTTACAAGAGGTAAGACACCATAATATAATTCTAAAATTTTAAAGCAATGGTATATGGATCTATTTTTTTATAAACTTCTAATTTATCCATATTTTATTCCATACAAGACTAATTCACACTTATTCTAACAAAAATGATATAAGCAAGTAACAATTTTTTTTTTTCAAAAATAAAACTTAGGAATGATCTAAAATAAGCAAGAAGTCAAAGTTGAAATATATTATGAACTAATTCACTCATGACCTACACACTCTATAATGCATTATCAAAATAGATATTTTATTTATTTTTGTTATGAGTGTTTTTTATGTGTGTATCTTTTACTTATTTGATAAAGAGGAAAAGATTTTATGCGTGTATCTAATAATATTTATTGTAATCCCTATGAAAGATTAAAAAGAAACATCAATTTAAAGGATGCCATACAGTATTGACGTAGTTTCAAAGAGTTACTTAAAATAATGCAATCATTTTGCTTTTTCTTTTGGTAGAAGAAATGAAGAACATAAGTAGAATAAATGAAACGTAAGAATAAGGAAACCAAAATGCCAAAATAATCTTAGAAGAGAGTGAGAGAATATAATAATTTGATAATGCCCCCAATTTTATTTTATTTTCTTGTGGCTATGATAATGAAGTGTAGTTATCAATATCTGGGAAAATAATAAAAGTTCCAACTATTAGTTTAAAGAAAGAGCCATGAAAGGTTGAGCCAAAAGAATAAAAATGGAAGGGTGGAATGGGGCAACCCCAAGGAAAAGCTGGATCCCACTCCCGCTGTTCTAATCCAGTTGAATTCCAGCACCATCTCTTTTTATTTTTTATTTTTAAAGCTTTTTTAATATTTAAATAATAATAATTTTTTATTTACTTCAATATTAATACTAATTTATTATATTTTTAATATAAAAATGTATTTTTATATACTTCAAATAAAAACTATATCCATAAAAATATTCAAGAACTCGATCAAATTTATTATTATCTCAATAATATTATTATTCTTTTAATATTTTTTTTAATATCTCTTTCTCTGTTCTTGTTATATCATGTTATCTGTCCTTTCTTCTTCTCTATTTCTAACCTTACTAAACATTTTTCCAAAAATTAATCATGAAATCAAGATGACTTTTACTGTGAACCATTAAATTATATGCTTCATCGGTAGATCATAATCAAGTATTATTATATTAAACTTAAGATTAAGAAACATTTAAATTCAAGAACTGTTTGACTTAAAAGTATTTTTTTATTGATAATTACCCTGCACTAAAATATTTTGATTGTTTATCAATCTTATATTGATAAACAATTAGCATTATCAAAACCTATAATTTGTAATTAAATATACCACCAACCAATAATTTTTAGAGTTACAAATTACTTAAACTAAGAAAAAAAAACATTTAACTATTTTAAATTTTAAATTAACAAGTGACTTTCACTTATGATACAAATCATCAATAATTTAACCTGCGACCCACTTAAAATTTTCAATCATTTTCCTTATCACAGTGTTCTAGACCTCTTTTTCTTCCCTCATTCTTTCCTTTCGTTTAAACTGCTCAAAACAGAGCATGAAAACTAGCAAAAAAGAAAAAGCATAAATAATTTCTAACAACTTAACATATTTTAAAAGAAAAACGAAAAAAAGAGTGCCGAGTCCGAAGTGTGACAGATCTTTGACACAAACATAGAAATCTACCTTTCCTTCTCTCTCTGTGATCCAATCACCCATTCCATCTCTTTCTATTTGCACTCACTTTCTCTCTGTTTCTTTCTGTTCTGTTCTCCTCCTGCATGCGTTTGTGACCGTTGAGCCATGAAACCAACACCACTCCTAGTCTCATTCCTACTCACCACCATTCTCCTCTTCCTCTTCCCCACCATCACCATCTCACTTTCTCCATCTCTTCCCCCTACACCCTCACCCTCATCTTCTCCATCACCATCATCATCCTCACAATCACCATCTTCTGCTACTCTTGATCCAAAGCAAATCAAGGCCCTTCAGTCCCTCCACATCCCCACCTCAAAGGACCCATGTTCCCAACCCTCCCTCCACAATGCCACATTGTGTGACTCCTCCAAACCCTTCCGCCACCTCATTTCTCTTCGCCTCTCCAACTGCTCAAACTACCTCTCTCTCTCCTTCACAGCCCTCAAATCACTCTCCACACTCCACACTCTCCAACTCATCAACTGCCCCATCACTCTCGCTCACTTCCCTCCTCAACTCACAGCCTCTCTCCACTCCTTCACTTGCATCAACACCCTCCACAAAATCTCTGCCGTTTTTCTCTCTCACCTCACAAACCTCACTGATCTCACTGTTTCGAACGTTCAACTCAAAGCCTCTGCCCCTTACGTCATTCTCTCCCACATGACCAAGCTCAAAACTTTGACTATTTCCCGTGCCAACCTCACAGGTTATCTTCCGAGACATATCCATTCCAACCTTACTTACATAGATTTTTCCAACAACAAACTCAAAGGAACAATACCCCCTTCTATTACCATGCTTGATAGTCTTGAAATTTTAAATCTTTCTTCCAATGGACTCAAAGGTGACATACCCTCTTCTATTGGGGACTTGATTTCCCTAAAAAATATCTCCTTGGCTTTTAATTCGTTTTCAGGGTCTGTTCCAGACTCCATTTCTGCCATACCCGGATTGGCTCATTTGGATCTAAGTTCAAACCAGCTAAATGGTTCCATTCCAAAATTCATTTCGGAAATGAAGAACCTCAAATACTTGAATCTGGCTAACAACAACCTTCGTGGCGTTGTGCCTTTCAACTCCAGTTTTATAAAGAGGTTGGAAGTGTTGAAGGTGAGTGGGAACAGCAACTTGTGCTATAACCATTCAGTTCTGTCTTCGAAACTGAAGCTTGAGATTGCTCCTTGTGATAAGTTTGGAATGCCAGTGTCTCCTCCACCTTCGAAGCGTTCTTCCTCTGCAGATGATAGCAGTGATTCGGATTATAACGGGAGTGATGATTATGATGATGGTAGCAGCCACAAAAAAGAGCATCATCATGGGCCCAACAAGGTGGTTCTTGGCGTGGCAATTGCTCTTTCTTCCATTGTCTTTCTCATTGTTTTCCTAATCCTATGCTCAAAGTGCTGTCGTTGAAGAAAAGTTTTATTTCTGGTTTTCTGAATTTAGATTAGGAAAATATGATAATTATTTGAGTTTGTTTGTTGGTTGTTTATTCATTTATTTATTATACAAATGGTCATATATCAGTTGCTGCAGAGGGAGAATTCGAAAGAATGGGAGGTGATGAAAATGATAAAAAAAAAAAAAAAAAAGGTTCGTTTCTGTTTTTGGGATTGGTAACCGATAGAATCAGGAGAGGAAAAAATTATCATTCAACTGAGGTTCAATTTTTGTTTCATTTGCTGATTAATCAATTTCTTGTGCAGTGCAATGATTTATATACAAGGAATGATGGTCTTCGGCACTTTATAACTAGCAATTATGAGTAAAAAATGTGGTATCCAGAAAGATGTCATTAACTTGTGTTATATGCATAATATACTTTTCACCTTTTTCATACTGCTGACCCAATGAACCTTAATTAAACTTTTGTTTAATTGCGTTATTTTTATTTCACACTTTTATAATTTTTTTTTTTGTTTTCTTTAAATAAATTACGATGAGAAGTGAGAAAATAATTACTCTATTTTTTACATTGCATTCAATCACTTACTTCACACTTTTTATTATATATATAGACTTACTATATTGCAGGGAAAGTTTTGTTTTGTGACTCAGTACTCCACTAAGTTTTTTCATCGAAATTATTTCCGTTAAACATGTATCTAATAATTATAAATGTGGCAAAATTGGAATTTTGCATTGGTTTACTTTAGTTATAGTACACTAATTGCTAACGGGAATGACATTATGGCAATGGCGATGGGTAAGTTAACAGTATATTTGTGTTCATAATCGTTCTTAAGAAAAGGTGGCAAACTTAAATGTCTGCATTCATATACGGTGAATATTTATGGACCAAGACTCATTATTATCCATGTGTTAGTAGACCGTGTTCGTTTTAAAATGTGTTCTTTTACAAATTTGTAAAATAAAAACTTAAATGTCTAGCATGCTTTTTTGAGTCACTGACATAAAGTTAGACTTACAGGCCGGAAATTTTGTCTTTACTTGTATTAAAAGAAAAGTTTCTACAAGCCCTCTTCTAAGCAAAATGTTTTACACCTTCAACAGAGAAAGTAGAAAAAAAGGAATATAATAAATAATATGATATAGTATAAAAGAGGCAGAACAAGTGTTAATTATGTTTGGGTGTTTATAATTAATTTTTTTTAATTTAAAGTTCTCCTAAAAAAATTCAATTTAATATCTTATATTGTTCAAGTGATAATTTTGAAGTTTTTCTATTTGGGTCTCTAAATCTGCGCATCTCTTTTAATCCCCTAAAACTGGTATGTTTGACCCTTGTTTCATATTGGAAAAAGCTGTAAGAAATCATATGGTATTTATTTTTTGTTCTGCTGCATATACGGGTAATATAGTGATGATATTATTTATTGGCACAACTTGAATATGAAATTTTGTCCCTCAACTTGATTAAGAGAGAAACAACAGGCCAAGCTGGTGTTGTTTGATGACATGATTAGCTAAATAGAGTAATAATGTATGATTGTGGATCTCTGTCACTGATACAATTATAATGTCCATGCTGATTTTGTTTTGGATGACTGAGCTGTCTATCATATCTTGATTAAGTACCTAAATATTCAAACTATGCGTAGTTTCCGTTTCCAAATTAGATAGGAATGTTCAAATATCCATGACCCATCATTCATTACAGCGTTTCTGATATTGTTTACACGACCTATTAAATCAAACAAAGAATGGATGCAATTGCAAGCAAACCTTGTGCAGAATTGTTAAATGGGTAAGTCACTCCATTTAACCGACAGGTTAGGTTAAAAAATAAGATAAGGAGAATCCTAATAATTAATTATTATCTTACAAGTCAAATGTTTTTACGAAAAAGTGGTGACATTAGTATTATTAATACATCTTATCATATTTTTAATAAAAAATTTATTTATTTATAAAAGGGCCTTTAGAACATCCTTTAATTTTTATTTTTATTTTTTGAAATTATACATAATCAATATCATTCGAATTATATCATATTTAAACTTCTGCTTTTAAAAGAGCATTGAACAAAAAAATAACAAATCTAGGCTTTTGATTTCAAAGCAAATCGATCAAAACAATTTGACCTTTCAAAGTAAAGTTGTATTATTTTTATGATTTTGAATGCAAACATATGTTTGATTGGAAGGGAGTCGAAGGGGGAGAGGAAAGGATGTTAATAATATTTTCATGTTAAAAGGAAGAAAAAAAAAGTGGATCAAAATATCTTCTCTGTTGACATTAGGCATTAGCTCTCGACTAAAAGTGAAAATTTGAAGGGATTTTTTTTAAAATTAATTAGACAAAATTATCCTTAATTTAATATGTATATTTAACCCTTCTAAGTATATGATAACAAATTTATGTATTTCACTTTTTCTTCCCTCTCCTTAACCAAATAAAATATCTCTCCCTTTTATTGAAATTCTTCTCTTCTCCCTTCATTTAAATCAAACAGTACGTTAACAAAATGTAAGGCTGTTTCATTTGAGGTTCTTTCTTTCTGAGGATTAAGATATGCTACAAGCTATGAGATTGAGTATTTGATCATATGTACTTGTTAAGTGAGTTCTTGTTTACTTTTAAAGAGCATATTTAAAATCATGTTTAAACAATTACGGATACATATTTACTTTTATATTATTAATTGTAACTTATATGTTAAATTTATGTTTACAAATTTTTTAATGGGTTTCTACTTTTTAAATACATACTAAATTTGCAGATGCAGCTTTCCTACCTAATTAAGATTTACAGGAACAGATTTTTTTGAAAAATAGCAGAAAAAAGCATGTTTGGTATGGTGGATTAGGCATTGCATGTGCAAGGAATGGAGAGGAATTTGAATCTGAAATACATAGAAAAACCCAAAAACACGTGACCCATTCAATTAATCTAAGGCGTGGCATCCACATGCAACTGTACTCGTGCTTCGAAAAATGGGTATATGGCACCGAATTCCTCATTTCCTATGCATTTCAGTAGCATTTATAGTGTTATTCTCATTTTGATTCCCTTCTTAAGAATCAAGACATTGTCAGAAATGAGAATTGAAAACATGCTTCATATGAACCCCAATCATTAACTCAGACAAACGACAGTTATATTGCCTCTGGCATAACTGAAAAACGGAGTCTGAACCACTGATTCTTGTGGCTATCCTTTCTACATAAACTTTGGCTTTGACCTTATAACCTAATCTATAAACATCAGTTAGATAACTGAGATTAGAAAATATAAGGTTGTCAATTATCATGAAGGGGATGATAGATTGACATTTAAAACCTTCCCCTCTATTGAATTTTTCCACTAATTTACCAGAAACCTCTGCAAGAACACAAACCATCCTTGAAATGGTGAAACCGGTTTGAATCTCTCACCAGAATTTCCCTACCGGTTGTCTTGGATATGAACTTCCCCATCTCATGACAGTCTCCACACATTCTTAGATTCTTAGTGACTCTAACAGTTCTCCCCGGAGGCGAATTTAATATACCAAAAGCCATGGCTAACTTCTCACTGTGCCCACATAGAAAGCCTTCCTTTTCCATATCATCTGCATTAATCAATGCATACCTCATCTTGGTAGTGTAACCTCCACTACTCATTTTCATTCTCAATTTTCTCAGCAACGAGTCTATCCTTTTGGCTTGAGGGTGTGAAGTATCCCCAGGAAAAAAGATATTGAATTTTCCTTGTACCTCTATCCAACTACAGCCTTGATCCTTTTTGAATCCTTGCCTACCTATCTTTCTTTGTAACTTTTTCATTTCTTCCCATTTTTCCACCTCCGCATAGACGTTCGCTAGAAGAACATAATACCTTGTGTTCTCTGGCTCTAGCTCAAAAACATGCTCTGCTACTTTTTCTGCTAGCTCCACATCATGATGGATCCTGCACCCAGAAAGCAAGGCAGCCCAAATTGTAGCATCTGGTTTAATTGGCATAGTCTCAATGAACCTGTATGCCTTGGATAGATTTCCGGAGCGAACAAGGAGATCCACCATACAGGCATAGTGTTCTAACTTGGGCTCGATGTTGCATTCACTTCTCATAGAATTAAAGAATTTCCACCCCTCTTTCAGCAATCCAGAATGACTGCATGCATAAAGTATGGAAGTGAAAGACGGCTCTTCAGGCTCAACACCTGCAACTCTCATCTTTTGAAATATGGAAATTGCCTCCTTTCCAAACCCATGCATGCCGTATCCAGCTATCATAACAGTCCACAAGATCAGATCCTTTTTCGAAATCATATCAAACAGTTGCCGAGCAAGAAGTAATAACCCACACTTTACGTACATATCAACAAGTGCACAGGCCACATGCAAATCTGAAAAGTACCCTTTTCTCAATATGTGCCCGTGTATCTCTCTGCCTTTCTCCAGAGCTGCTAAGCCTGCACAAGCTGGAAGGACACAGGCCATTGTAATGTCATCAGGCTTCAAATGTTTTTGCATGTCCACAAAAAGTTCTAGAGCCTCATTGGGAAGTGAGTTTTGTGAATATCCTCCAATCATTGTATTCCATGAGACGGTGTCTTTAACTGGAATTTGAGAGAAAACTAGATGAGCTTCTTCCATGCTTCCACATTTTGCATACATATTCATGAGAGCATTAGAGACGGGCAAACTCGACTCCATGTTGTTCTTTTTAATATAATTGTGTACATCCCTTCCTTTATCCAAAGAGTTGCTACAAGCACATGCATGAACGACGCTCGTGACAGTGTAAATATCTGGGCTAAGACCTTTGCCTTGCATTTCATCAAATGACCCGATAGCAGCATCATATAGACCTTCTCGAACATAAGCAGCTATGATTGAAGTCCAAGAAACAATAGTTGTTTCACCCATCTTCACAAAAACTTCAGTTGCACCGTTTAAATTACCACATTTTGAATACATATCTAGCAAGGTATTGTTAAACATCACTTCCGCACTAAAACCAGCTTTCACTCCGTAAGCATGAAGAGCTCTACCCAATGAAAGGTTGCCTATATTTGCACAGGCCACAAGAACACTAACCAAGGTGGCCAAATCCACATCAACCGTCAAATTCAGCATCCGAATGAAAATCTTAAGTGCATTTCTGGAAAACCCATTCATAACACACCCACTAATCATAGAATTCCAAGACACAGTATCTCGGTCATTCAATTCATCAAACAAATTATGTGCACTCTCAACTCCATCACATTTAAAATAAGCTGCAATTAGAGAGTTGACAACAGCATTATAAGAACCAAAACCCAGTTTTAAAATATACCCATGAATCCTTTTACACTCTTTTACTTTTCCCAATGCAGCAAAACACTTCAAGATACAAGTAAATGTATAAGAATCCCCTCTAACTCCCAACTTCTGCATTTTCTTAAAAAGACTCACACTTTCCCTGTAATTACCAGTCTTCGCATATTCAGACATAATGAGATTCCAGAGAAAAACCTTATCATTGAGGATCCCATCAAATATTCGTCTTCCTTCAACCAAATCACCACAATTCACATACATGAAGACTAGTTTTGCCCCTAAAACCCCACCAGTTGTCATGCCATTGGAAGTGATAATGGAATGAACCCTCTTTCCATCTTCCAAAGATTTAAGCTCAGCACAGAGCTGCAAGACGGAACAGTAAGCATTCAATTCAAGTTCAAAACTTTGTGACCTTTTGAGCAATTCCATGGCATTTCTGAGATCACCCATTTCGCAGAACTTGCAAATTTTTGCATTTTTGTCCACGGTTACGTTGTGGGTGGTCTCGGCCAAAGCCGCAAAGGCACCAACACTGCTACGACAAGAAAGGTCCAAATTCGAAGATAAGAGACATGTTGTCCAAGATTGTCTGAGGAAGATGAAACAATTTGGAGATTTGGCATAGTTTGACTTGTTTCTGTGGCTGGTATAAGTTGGATAAGTGCTCAACTTTGCTATGCTTTTCGACATAGTTAGCACTGCCTTCTGTCCCCATCTTCAAACAACGTTGACGCCACGTTATATACCTAGTATCTAAAAAATCGGATACTCATTTTCATCCCGAATTTTGACACGTGTTATGTAATCCATATGTATCATATATTATAACACACATAAAATCTTATCTATATTGTTTTTCTAAAAACAAATTACTAAAATATATATTTTAAAATTAATTTTCTGTCTGGTTTCTTTTTGCTACGTGTCATAATTCTTGCAATATGGCAAAATTTAACACTACTCCGCAGTTAGTCGAGTGTTTGAGAAACATATTTGTTGTGCAAGATTGGAAATTATTTGACAGCTGTATTGTCAAGAGAAGGCAGGGTTTTACATTTTCTTGGGGTAGTGATGGCAAACTCTGTCACCGCACTAATCCAAATCATGTGGAACCCCATCCTTTATTAGGAGCCCTGGAACACATACCTGTAGTGCAAATAGCTGCTGGATTCTGCTCCCTGCTTTGTTTGGCTTGTCAACCCAGTGGAATGTGAGCTCCAACTGTCTCCTTATCTTCACTATTGCATTTTTTTTTTACACAAGAACTGAATTGAGAGCTATATCATATGCTACAAATTGGGCACTCTTTCATGCTGGGGTGAAAATATTTTATTTTATTTTTTGTATTGTGATCTGTTCCTTAGCTGTCAACACATATCTGCCATTATGTTTTTTATTCTTAAGTAAACTAGTTTTTACATTTCATTTCATTCTCATTGTAATGAGTAATAAATAATATCATCTGTATGTTATGTTTATTGATTATGTGATCCTTCTCTGAAATCTTAACAGGTCAGTGTACTCTGTTGGATGTGGCTTGGGTGGGAAGCTTAGACAGGGCTCAAGAACTGATGAGACGTATCCACGTTTGATTGAACAATTTCAGCTGTTAAACCTTCAGCCCATGGTGGGTGCTGCTGGTGCTTGGCATGCAGCTGTGGTGGGGCAGGATGGCCGTGTTTGCACATGGGGATGGGGCCGTTATGGTTGCTTGGGTCATGGAAATGAAGAATGCGAATCAGTGCCTAAGGTGGTGGGGCAATGAAAAATGTCAAAGCAGTTCATGTTGCTACAGGAGATTACACCACCTTTGTAGTATCTGATAATTGTGACGTTTATTCATTTGGTTGTGGAGAATCTGCTAGTCTTGGCCATGCCCTGGAAATGATGAACAGGTCTTCTTTGCTTCCTTCTTCTTTTCCTTGTTAGTTTGGATTGGTTCAAAAGAAGTGGCCTTCATTGATTTTTGCACTATGAAGTGGTTACTGCTTTGCAATAATTGGAACTTGTAGATGAGTTCCAAATGTGAAGCGGTTTTAGAATAAAGCATCCAGTTGAATTTTACCCTTGTTAAAATCATATTATGCATTATGTGCTAATTTATGTCCAAATCTGAATGATGGCTTGCATTGCATTCTTTGATTCATGGGCAAAGCGCATAGTGAACTCTTGACCACATTTTCCTATAAAGCCCCTATAGCCAGGGCACAAGTACCACAAACCTAAATGAGATTTTATATTGGTGACTATAGTACATTCCATTGAAGTTTTATCTTTCTATAAGGTAAATGATTTATGAAAAAACAATTATTCAATAAAAAAAAGCCTAATTTAAATGAAGTTAATGAACAATGATATGTTTGGACTTGTGCAGGGAAACAGGTATGCAAATGTGTCGAGTCCGGAGCTTGTGACTTCATTGAAACAGGTCAATGAAAGGATGGTACAAAAATTAAATATTTTCTCTCTCTAAAAATTAATATTTTTTAAATTTTCTATTTTTATAATTTTTTTTAAAAATTCACTATAAAAACTAACATTTTTTTAAAAAATTATTTTTTTATTTTAACTCTAGATAATATTAAATATTTAATCTATCAAATAAAAATATAAATGATAAACTCCACAAGTCATTAAAATTCAAAAATAGAGAACTAAAAAAAATAAGAAGAGTTTAGAAAAAATTTCTAACTTTTTTTTATATTTTTAATTAATTTTCAAATAAGTGTTAACAATTCCTAACCCCTTCCTTTCCCATCATAAAATTCAAAAAAGCCTTGTTACTTTTATATTTTCTATGTAATACTTTAAAAAGTAATAATTAAATAAATAAAGTGTATACATTATTCAACTAATCTTTTATATATATATATGTGTGTTTGTTTTAAGGTACTTGAAAACAATATTTCATTTTTAAGTTTTTAACTTTTTTGATAATACATTGAATTTTTTTTTTCTCTTAGCACTATATTCATTCTCGATAGATTATATGAATCAAGTTTGCTGGACAACAATAGATAATTTACATTTTAAAACAATATATAAAATATATAAGAAAATATTTGAAGTCAATATGTATTTATAAAATCGTTTACTAATGATCCTCATCGTAAGGTAAATAGAATATATAAAAATAAATAAATAAATGACATCATGAAAAACATTTTAATATTTAAAAAAACATAATTTGACAGATAATCTAATAATTTAATAATTATTATTTTTTATAATCATGTGATTATATTTCATATTTTTATAAAGTAAATATTGACTAAAAAGTATATGCATTTAACTCTAAATTAACATTTTATATTCTCCTCCGTTTTAGTTTTACAAAAAAAATTATTTAATTAAAGGTATTTAAAATATTTATATTTTTAAAATAATAAATACATACACCTTTCCATTAAGAATTAATCCCCTCATATACTTTATAAATTAAAGTGTATGCATTTAATTATAAATAAACTTTTTATATCTCCCTGTTCTCGATCTTTTAACTTTTTATTTCTATAAATTTCGTAATTGTTAAATAAAAAAAAATGTATTTTATACTTTTAAGAAAATAAATATATAATTTTTTTATTTCAGGTTAATAGTATGCATTTAATTATAAAATAACATTTTAATTATATTTTTATTTCTAAAATTTCTACCTATTTTTATATATTTTTTCTAATTATTAAATAAAGCCAGTTTGTGTGTATATATATATATATATATATATATATATATATATATATATTATGGATTAAAGATAGTAAATACATTAAAAAAAAGTCAATATATTTAATTATAAATTAACATTTTAATATGACTTATATATATTTTTGTTTAATATTATTTTATAAATGAAAGATTATCAGAAGGTATGTAAAAATTATATATATTTTATCCTTTATTTTTAATATGCATTTTTATTCATGTTTATCATCACTCATGGAACATTTGTAAAATCATGATAATCCTATTTTTAATATACTGATTATAGTTACTTGAAATTGACGAAGAAATACAGAGCTGAAAGATCTATAAATAAAGGTGTGAACATTAGGTTAGGTATGCAGAGAGTGTTTTGGTAGTGATGGCTGAGCAATCGCAATTTTCAGTGGGCAACCGTGGGAATGATGATTGTTTGAAGTACTTAACTATGGAAGATGCTCACTTGGTGTTGCAATTTCTTTGTTCCCATCCTGAAGCACGTTTGCGTGCCGATGACAAAGATCCTTCTTCCAAAGCCAATGCCTATAGATGTCTTGCGGCTCTTCTACGACTTCTCAATACTCATAGGATCTTGGAAATTTTGGACTCGAAGCGTTTAGAAGCTGAGAAGTTGTTGCAGGATCTTCGCGACTTCTCTTTCAGTGGTCCTTGGTTGGATTCCGTTGAACAACGCCTTGCTGCTAATTCTCATTTTGATGCTCAGTCTCTGCAAAACGTGGTGAGCTCCGAGGAACGTTTGAGGGAGAATATCGATGCAGTGTTCATTGATGCGGACTTTTACGCCCACCAAGTCAAAGGTTCTGAGACCCAACTTAGATCCGTGAGAGGAAGAAAGCTGTTTTAGATGCCAGAGCCACTTTATATTTTCATTATTTTTGACAAATAATATTTATATCACTTTCCTTTGGAAATAATCCTACAGGATATTTTGAAATTAAAAAAAATTCCGTTGCCGGGACTCGAACCCGGGTCTCTCGGGTGAGAGCCGAGTATCCTAACCAACTAGACTACAACGGATTATTGATTCTTTCTTGCCCGTATTAGTAATTAAACCAGGCACACCAAAATATGGTTTACATTCAAGTATTATTCAATAATATTTTATTTACTTACGTAAATATTGCCTTGCTACACACATTGCCACATAATTACAGTCTACTCTTTATTATTATTTAAAAAGTGAGGTATGTTGTCACTGTTTTAGTTACATTATCACTGGTTCAAATCATGTGAGAACCTACCCATAACCTACCGAAGGCAGTTGCCCCACATTTTTTTTTTCTCCTAATACATACTTACTATATCTATTTGCACTCACCACATATTCAAAGCGTATCACGAGTATACCTCGATAACCTTGAATATATCTCTTCCTATTCACACACTTCATACACATTATAAGATTTGGCTCAAAATCTCACATTATATACGGTTTCATTATTTAAATCACTACATATTAATGCTGTATATGATACTGTATGGTATTATTTTTATCTTGTATTTGCTTTTTTTAAATCTTTTCTGTATTCACTCATCCCAAAAATGCACCCCAAGTATAAAAGAGGTTCCCATTTTAGTGATATAAACATTTTCCTTTTACATCTGTATATAAGCTTCAAAATTATGGCAAGAATTGTGAGCAAACAAAATATTGTAGTGTGGCCCTAACAAAAAGAAAAATGCTGACAACCAATTTTACTAAAGGTAGAGTAATTTAGAAGTTAGGACATTTGCAAACAAAAAGAAGGAAATATAAACACATTGAAGACAACATTATGACATTGGATTCTTTGAACTTTAGCAGACAAGTCAACAGAGATTAAAAAAAGTGAAAAAATGAAAAAGAGAAAAGGAAAATGGAGGAGAAGCTTTTTCTGTTTTCTTGGTTTACAGCGAATAATGTACTGTTTCTAACATCTATGAGTAAAATATTGTTTTTTCCACTTAGAAAAAGTAATCCCGCTGTATCAATATATATCTCAGAACACCACACGCACTCCAATCAAATGAATGCAATAAGGAAACAATATGGCCATCACTTGCCAAGTTGGCAACTTCTGTACAATGAAACTTGAAGGCTTCAGGGTAGGGTATGTAGTACCCTGAAAAATGTGAACTTGGACATGGTTAAGCATTACCACCCCTTCAGAGAAAGAATTTGCCAAGAACCAATAATGCATGCACCCATTACGTAGGCAGGGATGAAGATTTGGAAGGGAAGAATAGTGTTTGACTTCCCCACTAGAACATATTTACACGGAAGAACCATGGTAGAACAAAAGCTATTACCAGGCATGCCATTAAGAAGTTACAAAATGGTTGTCCACGCCAACATCCGCCAAACCTGCCCGATGAGGTATTATCACTGTCCATAAATCTACTTTCATTCCACTCTTCAATAAATTCATTATCAGTAACATCTGAAACATTTTTTGCAGTCTCACCACATATTTCGCACAACCTGTAATTGTGAAAGATAAATAAAGGTATTAACAGAACTAACATAGAACATAGGAACCTCAGGATTATTCAACCAAACACTAGCTTGCATATGAAACAAAGAAGATTGAACATGCTTGGTGATGACATTCTTATATTGCACACACAAGTAAATTCTTGGACTCTTCTCTCTCAGCTCAATAGACAAGAAATATTTTCAAATTTTAAAGAATAAACTACAAGTGTACACGAGATGTGAACGGAAAATATAAATATTGAGAGAACTTTGCCCCCTAAAATATAAATATTTAGACAAAAAAAATATATGTGAGAGTAATTTCAAACAAGAATTAGGATTAAAATTACCACAAAAAAAATGTATTTCCAGACCGTCCTTGACCAGGCACAGTAAAATTTTGAATTGACCATGCATCTGAACCATCATTACAGATTGATGCTGGTGCTAATTGAAAGTTTGTGGTTAAAGAGATTACAAGGGAAGGGCTAATAGAGGAATCGTAATTAGATTAGTGACATTTGAGACTTAAACAAGTGAAAGTTGCATTAGTACCATACCCCGCAGTTTCTTCTCTAACAACAGCAAACAAAAATTTTAAATGTGAAATATGCCCATATTCAGAATTATCTCAGAAATTATTGCAGTTGGAAAGACAATCTTGCTGCATGAGATCAATGTATCAAATATTTGCTTTTCCTTTATTTGGGAAGGGTAGAGGAAAAGGGGTAAGAGTAGGACATATATATTATTCTTTCTAGGGTGATGAAAGTATTAACTTACTTTTCCCAGTTCATTTCCCAAACATCAGCTGAAAAGAGAAACAGAAGATTCAGAGAAACTTCATGGAGACTAGAAGAGCATTTTTTGACCAAAACATGGGCAAAGCATCAGCATGAAAAATATGCGCAATCATATATTAAACACCAAACTAGACATGATGCCATCGTTTGGAGGTCAATTAACCTCAACTCACAAAAATTAGAAGCCAAGCCATTGGCTAATATCTCGGAAGGAAAACCAACTGGGTGTCTGGATGCATTTGCCCACTCTAAAAAAGGGAAAAAGCTATGAGCAGCATACATTAACCAACTGACAATGATAGGCAATGAAGCCAATTCCAAAGTTTAGACTCAAATTTAAGGAATTTTTTTAGGTAAAGTTATTAATAACAACAATATTACAGTAATAGAATTTAGAAATTCCTACAGACAACAGCCAACTGCTTTAATCCTGTTCTCATCCAATGCTATACGCATAAGTATGCATTAGAATTTCAAAGATTCACAAAACAAGTCATGAAAAGAAAAAACCGACCAAGTATTATAAAAAGATGAATATTATAAAACATTAAAATATTGAACATCCCAATGACGTTTTGAATTCAAAATAAGTAGACAATGCACCAGAACATGTCTAATGTTGCAGGCATTAATGCAAAATTTCAAAATAATAAATAAAAAAAAGGCTAAACAAATGTTAATCTACAAACAATAAGTATTAAAAAAAATAAAATCAGTTACCTGTTTCCTCTAAGCTTGAACCATGCCTCAGCACAATGACTATGGGCAATGCCTAGCTCATCTTTACATGCACAACCAAGCTGAATCAAATCTGTATTAGTCGTAGCATTATTAGCAGTGCCAACAGCTACTGCTTCTAATGGTTGCCCAGAGGCCAGATGGCAAATCCTACAGATCATTTCACCTTCCAAATTCTCACTAAACCCATTGCAGTCACCACAGTTTACATCAATGACGCATGAATTTTTCTCCGTCTCAGACACCTCTTTTGGTGTTTTCACAGACACCTTGCCCAACCCCAATTCATTAGGTTTTGTTTCCAATTTCCTATTATCTCCACTGACATACACAATCTGAGGAGAAGAATCTATAACAACACAGGTCTCAACCACTTCACCACTAACCAAATTTCTTGAAGTATAACTAGTTCCTTGATCAACCCCATGCAATGTATCATTAATTTCTTGTGGGTCACCCATGTCCTGACCCTTATCTTCTAGAGGCCCCTCCTTTAACTCCTTATTCAATTCAAGATCATCACACATGACTTCTGAAGTCCCACCTTCCCCACTTACACTAACTCTTTCACCCAAGCTATGTCCAGCTCCTGCATCAATTGCATTCAACTGGTTTAAATCCTCATCCTTCCTTTCATCAACATGATCCAAAATCTCACCACTGTCTTTGCTTCTTGCCTGATCCATCACCCCGATATCAAATCCTCCCACTCAATATTTCCAAACCTGAAAAGAAACTCCTTACAAAACATAACACATGCATCTCACAGTGATAAACCCAACAACAAAAGATAAACTTTATGTTATTTACAGAGGATGAACAATGTGATCAAATAAAAAGTGGAAAATATATATCTCTCAACGACCCATTTCGTATTTTGAGATATAATCTTCAGATATTGTAACAAAATCATAAACATAACTAAAAAAATGAAACTTGGATTGTCACCAATACGATGTTTCACCCAATCAACCACAAAGAGGGGATTTACCTCAAATATTATGTTCTAGAATAAAAATTCAAACTGGGTACGTTTGAATCCAACCACACCGCGTTAAAGCTCTGAGCTTTGCCCTGGTTCTGGGGTGTAGTTGGAAGAATGCACGATGTTATTATTATTTTAGTATTTATATATTGAAAAAAGAGTAGCAGGGTTAGGTAAGGAAAGTAACTGGGAAAATGGCATGAAAATTGGAGAAGAGATTGAGTGCATTTGAATCATTTGATGGAATGAATAAGTGAGTAAAGCAAAGGATAAGAAATTGAGGTTTTGTCTTTATTCCATGCTTTTATACAAAACCCTTTTACTTTTACGGCATGCATTGGCATAGATATTCATGAACTAAAAAACCGATTTCGAAGTCATTTGTTTTAAGGCTTCTGATATGAAATATTTTTATCAAAAAAAGGTGTTGATTAAATTTTTGTTTTTGTCATGTGAAAAATATTTTCTTGTAATAAAATCAATTGTAAAGACTAATGTTAACAGAATAAGAAAATAATCACTCAAATCCAAAAAAACAATTTTAAGACTAATTTATCACATTAATTTTGATTTATTGCCGGTTTAAATTAAATGAATAGAAGGTGTACGGAGTATCAGATATTAAGTGCGTTTTAAAATTTATTATTGATCCGTTTTGCGTTTCAATAGTCAAATTTAGTTTGGAACATTACAACAACGGCACCTTTATGTCTCGTGTCTCATATATTTTATTACATAAATTTTAGATTTTATATATAAGAAAGTTCTTTCAAATAAGGTAGAAAATTGATAAAAAAAAAAGTATTTACTACTTTGTAATTAAATTTAAAAATATAAAATTTAATTATTGAATATAATCTAAATTATTTTCAATCAGGTGATATTAAATTAAATTTAAAACAGCATTTAAATTAATTTCAGCTGAAATATAATATATTTTTATAATGATAATAAATAAATTCTATTTTAAAAAATTTAACCAAATTATAAAATAAAAACAAAAGAGTAATAATAGAATGTACCAATTCATCGGTCTAACTAGAATAAGAACAAGAAATGAGCAAGTCTATCGCGAGAAAGAAAATAGAATTCTAAACAGAAATTAGTAATTTTTTTCTTTACCCAAAAAATTTAATTTGTTCAATTCTCGAAAATACTTGCTCAATTACACACTGTACTATCTAATATTGTATAAAAATTGATAAAAAAAATAAATTGTAAAATATTAAAAAATAAATGAAATTACTCTAAAAGATACAAAAAAGTGTCTCTGAAAAATAAAATACACATGCTCTTATTAAAAAACTAAAAGTGTGATTCATAACCAAAATAAATAAATAAATCCTAGAGCACCGCAACCCACGTGACAACAGACAATATCATTTAGTCAATTAATAAACAAAAAGAAAAATCCTGATATATGTATTAGAATTTTCTCAATACCTTTTACTTATTTTTACATATTTTTATTATTTTATTAAAATAAACATTAAATGAAAAGTATATATTTATAATTTTAAAAACGTGAAATATAAAAAGATTAAATTATTCTTTACATTAACAAATGCATATTAGTAGAAGTCAAGAATCTAGTTACTATTGAGAAATCCGTTCCCGAATAATCGGTCAAAATTAAGCATATCAATTTTGACAAAAATACCTTAACCACGTTGTCAAAATTCAAGAGCTACTTCTACTTGCAAGATGCTAATTTTTATCACATTAGTGTTTTTTTATATATTATATAGGTATTATTAAAATAAAATTTATTATTCATAAATTTTCTGTAGGTTAAAATTTTCACGTCAGAATGTAACCACAAAATTAAATACAGGAAAATCTAATGCAGTAATTATCTTTTGAAACATATAATTTCATTGGTCTACTTTTTTTATTCGATTTGACTGTCTTTATTTTTTTAATCTACTCTAATGGTATGATACTGATAATATAATTTATAAATTTAAGTTTTTTATATTATATAAGAGCGTAATTACTTGATTTTAATTTAATAAATATAATTTTGATACAATAAAATCTTCTCTAATAAAAATTTTATATGTTAATCTCCAATCTATACAAATATTGATAATTTAGTCTTTTAGAATGACTAATGATAATATTTTTAGAATTAGTTGTATTTTTAGTCTCTATACTTTAATTTATGTATAACTTTAATCCCTTTAATTGTTAAATTATTTAAATTAAGTTTTTTATTTCAAAATTTTATTTAATTATTAACAAAAATATAATAGAGATGTGATATATTATTGTAAATAAATTTTTATAAATAAATAAATAAAATATATAAAAAAATATTTTTATAAGCATTTTAAATAAGTTTTTCTTTATTAAAATAAGAAAATTTATCTAAATTATTAAAAATTATAAAAAATAAATATAAAAAAGTAAAATTAAGGAGAAAATTTAATCATTCAAATTACTAATAGAAATGAAATCTCAGTTGTTTATTTATCTTGAACCTCAGCATTCATTAATTTACTTTTATAGGGCACTTTTCAAACATTAAAACATAATTAAATTTAGGGGAAAAATCAAATAAAAATGTTTTGATTGTTTGTTTTCTGCCTTATTTTTGAATTTTTCTGTGACAATAAATTTTATTATATTTAATGTTTAAAAAAATAACGAATGCTTGTATATTTATTTTTAAATAAATGATTGACATTATTTTATATCCCATTACTTTTATTATATTGATTGACGATTCGTTGTTCTTTAATCATTGGCAGATTCAAAGCAGGAACAGAAGATACATTGTAAGTTGTAAATATTAAATAAAGTGATTTATGTACGAGAATTGATATAAGCACGAAAATGGCATCAAATAAAAAATTAGAATAATAATTAAAAAGCAATAAAACCTTTGTTAAAATTATTTTAATACCGTCAATAATTTTTAATGGATTGTACTCAATTCTCAGGGCAAAATGGGAAATATAAACATAACTTCGAGGGAATTAAATATGTAAATTACTTATTTGGAGAAAACAACTAATTTTTTAAAAATTATAATCATTTGAAATTGTAAATTTTATGATAAATTTAAAAAATGGTTTACTTAGTTTTTTTAAAAAAATAAAAAGATTCTCTTAGAAAAGAAATTATATCATAAAAATATTTTTCAAAACTTAGTCAAACGCTTTAAAATTTAGTTTTGATTAATTTTAAAGAGTTTTAAAAAAATTACAAGAATCTTAATTTAATATTATTTTAAACACAAAAAAAACTAGTATAAACATAACTTATGAACAAAGTGATAAATCAGAAAGAAAAAACATTTTGCATATTTCCCATTTCCTTTTCTGTTGCCATATATATCCAGTGTTAGCATATAGCACAGTTCAATTTTTTGTTTTATTTTGTTACCATCATGTGTGCAAATCATTTAGATCTAGATTCCTGAAAACATGGAAGTGGCTAGTAGCGGAACATCATTTTTCAACATGATCACATGCCCAACTGCAAAGATAAACTTGATGAGCAGGACAACTTGTGTGTGAGAGAAAATTCCTGACAGCCAAAGTAAAATGAACTTGCAAAATTATATATATATATTTTAAAAAAATTGTAAATAATAACTGATTCATAATCTAACAATTATTGATGACTATGACATTGTTCATAGTTGCACAAGTCAAAGTAGTAATATTTCATTCAAAAAGAGCAATTATTGGATGGAATGGCATGTGTACCTAATATGATATCTATGATCATCGTCAATGCTGCCGACAACAACTGGTTAATCATGTGCTCAAGCTCTGATGTTCAGAAAATGGTGGAGTGACAAGTGATAAGCTTAAAAGGAGAAATCTTTGCATAAACTCTAATAAAACAGATCATATTTATAAATCTGTTAAATAAAAATGTAAGGTTGAAACAGTAGAATAGAGATAAGTGTTTGAAGAGATAAGCAGACAAGATTACATTTCACAAGGAGCATGTTTGTGACATGGCGAATCAGTCACATATTTGACACGAGGAAGCCAAACCCAACAACCAACATTGTCCACCATCAAGATCCATCATTTATCTGAGGGACCCTCCTTCCAGGTAGGGGTTGTTTTCCCTTGACATAAGCATTGTGATCAATTCAGGCCAACCATACTATACTAGACATAGAGGTTTACTATAATCATGGAAGGAAGAAGCTATTTTGCCTGGGGCAACAAATCTCCACCAGAAGGTATATGCTGGCTGAAGTGGTGGATCAACTGCAACCATCCAGAACCCAAGTCTCAGTCCCAGTCATGCACAGAATTATACTGCCACCATACAGTAACTTGTAATTTAGATATTAAGATGGTACCCCTCTCCGTTGTATCCATTAGTTTAGAACACACTTTGCGCTGAGCTTAACATCATGTTCCAGCCACATGGGCATATTGTAGCCCTATCTGACGCTTCATCTGGTCAGGTATCAACTTATTAATGAGCTCTGGAGACGCTCCAGATAACTGTAAACAGAGAACATTAACATGTAAGAGACCCTGAAGAGGGAACTTATAGAATATCTGATCCCTAGTATATTCATAATGTAGCTGTCTATCAATTTGGTTTAGTGGCATGCTAATCTTGTATCTTGATCATAAAATTGAATTGTAGCGCATGTAGCTTTTTCTGACCTAGGTTCAGAGATTAGTAGTCGACATTGACACACTCACCTCTTGTTTAAAGTTGAACAGAGGAGGAAATGGACGTCCATTTGGCAAGCGAGCATTGGGTTCACGGAGTTCATCAAAGAATGGGTGTGCACATGCTTCTAGCTGCATAAGAAAAGTAGATCCTCCTCAAACGGCTATGGTAGTTAATATATATAACAGTCACCAACTGATCAGATTCAGAAGAAATATAGACTGGTCTATACTATGTTGAAGGAAGACTAAATGATTCACACACATAAATAAATCAAAAAACTGAAGCAATCACACTCACCGCAGTACAACGAAGACTAGGGGAGTACTGCAGAAGCCGTGAAGCAAGATCAATTGCTTCTGGAGGCATTTTTTTGTGGAATATCTACACAAATTTTCAAGCTTTAGAATGTCATGGATTATTTTCTATGTCCTCAACTTTGATAATCTGAAAAACAATGTGGCATAAGAGAGCTAAAAAGGCAAACCTTGTGCCATGGATGTGCTTTAATCTGTGGAAACCTGAAGTCATTGTAGTTAGGATTCATACAGCGAACTTCCTCCCGAGTGGGTGTGCCAAGAACCTGCAACACAGGATATTATTGAGCTGAACTCTTATGACAAGAATGGTATGATCTTTGAAATTAATGTTTTAACACCAATTGCACCTTGATAATCTCCACAAGCTGGTCCACTGCATTTTCGCCAGGAAATAATGGCTACAAAGTTCCCTTTGTACGTCAGATGACATTAAGCAGTAGATAATTATTAAATAAGATATTATTTGCACCAATTTTTAGTAAGTGGAATGCTAGCAACACGCTATTATTGGCTGAAATTTATTTCAAAAAGCCATTCATCAAATGAGAAGTGGGATCTACATGATTTTGCAAGTCCAACTAAATTTCAACCAATAAGGAGTCGCTAGCACTGCTGTTTTTTGTAATGCATGTAATAACAATAAAAGAAACAATGACATATACCTGGCCCAAAAGCAGTTCAGCAAGGACACAGCCAGCTGACCAAATATCGATTGAAGTAGTATACTCAGTGGCACCAAATATAAGCTCTGGTGCTCGATAGAAACGTGAACATATATATGATATATTAGCTTCACCTTTGACCTGATCACACAAAAGTCCCCAAGTAAACAAGAAACATCCAGTTGGAAAAAACAGAAAATATGATCATGATATTTTTATAGGAGTCACAAATCAAATGCTCAAGAGCACAAAAGTTTAATGTATATAAATCACAACAGAAATCACCAAAAAAATACAAAATGGATGGGTTACCCAAAAGACTAAAATAAAAATAAAAATAAATCAGAAACCAAATCTGGCTGGTCAACCCAAAAGGATGAAACAAAAACCATATAAAAAAATTACAATGTCACAAGATAAAATGTTAAAAAAAATATAGGTCTGCAATTTGCAGTGGAGCACAGCAGTACACTAGCATTAGAGATGACTTGAGGACTAACAACAATAATAAAGTCTTATTCCACTAAGTAAAGTCAACTACATAGATCGCACAAAGTGCATAATTAAATGAAGCAGTGAAAAGTAGACCAGAAAATAGTCCAAAATTTATTTCTGTACACCTTCAGAGTTCGGAATGGGCATCACACATACCTGAGACAATACACCTCTGTTCACCTAATATCCTAGACACTAGATCAAATGTCATCAAAGCATTTCATTTAACCATATGCATCAAATGAACAACATTACATTTCACAGCATAATAATTACCCTTGTCATCTACACCATCAGAGGTGATTATAATTTATTATACTTGGTTGAGATTGTAATAAAAATTAAGGGACAGCCTAGGCTGACTAATAAAATATGATAATGATGCACACAAAAGGTGTGTGTGTGTACTGAGAATGAAGTTGACATACCATCACTTTTGCACTTCCAAAATCACATATCTTAACCTGGTGTGTAAGAGGGTCAACCTAGAGAATGCAGAAAGTGACATCAGAGCAAGAAATCATTCCTACTTTTTGGAAAGAAGTCATGATAATAATTTGCATTCAGCAAACATATAGAAGCAAACCAGTATGTTTTGGGGCTTCAAATCTCTGTGGCAAACTCTAGGGACAGTGTGGATATAAGCCAGCCCCCTGAAAATCTATATGTGCAACACAGACCTGTATCAGGATATGAAAAGGTAAAACAGAACCTCTCAATCAGCATAAAGTCTAAGTAATACCTGATACATGTAAAGTTTTACGTAGATGAGTGGCATTCCCTGATTAGCATTATTACTATAGAACTTCAAAACTCGATACATAGACTCTGGAACATATTCCATCACCAAATTAAGGAAAAGTTCATCTGTACTTGTAGTGGAAAAGAAACAGTGCTTCAGAGAGATCACATTTGGATGATCCATCATGCGCATTAACTGTAGTTCACGGTTCTTATATCTTCTGTCCTGTAAAACCTTCTTAATGGCCACAGCTTCCCCAGTTTCCAAGCATTTTGCCTATGAGGAAAAATTATCAGCATGTGTCAAAACATATGAAGATAATAACAAATATAAATATAGTATTGACCTACCTGGAAGACTATTCCAAATGACCCAGTTCCCACAACGCGTTCTGCCATGTAACTTATTGTCTACAAAAGTAATCATAACAAAGGCATTAAAGTTTCAACCCAAGATTTTGGCTGGGTTAGATGTGAAATCATCCAATTCCCAAATGGGTTCACAAAAGCAATACCTGTTTGGGCTCCCCATTTTTTCCTCCAATTGTAGTGGATATGATGTGGCCAGTGAGAGAATCATTCCCGTTGACAACAGAAGCAGACATCTCCTGCCAAATTGCAACAATTATGAGCAAGATATAAGGAATACTAGAATTTCAAATGTTTTGCATATCATTGCAAAATGATTTAGTGTCACAAGGAAGATGAAGTTGGAAGAATATAGTAATCAATCACAATAACACACTCCGAAGGGACAGAGTATCAGGATACAGACTGCTAACCAACTCATATTGCAATTCAATTATTTAAAATCCAAGTTCCATAGAAGATATTGCATAAAGAAGTGGTAGGTACTAGGTAGACAGCAAAAAGAATATGATATTAGATTGAGAAACTCCATAAAAGATTAAGCAACTTACCATGTTGCTAAAACAACTTAAAAAAATGCAATAACCAGCAGCAGAGTACAACAAAATTGAATATTAACAAATTAACGAGAAACTAAAGTAACGAGCTACGTAGAAAAATAACAAGCAAAAGATTATAACAAATCAGGACAAATCTTTATCACTACACACCCAGTCCAGAACTTGTCTCCAGACCCCAAATACATAATTACAAAAAACCAACGTGGATCAACATGAAACTGAGGTAAAAGGGTATTCTCTTTTAGGCTCAAAGACCAAATTCTTCAGTAAAGGAACCGAATTATATAGAAATGGAGAAATGAAAATTCTACAGACCATATAACTCTTACAACCTTTACCCTTTCAAATAACTAAAATTAGAAACCTTTGGACTCTTTCCTTTCTCAGGACCGATTCCGAAACAATAAAGCATATAAATGAGCATGAAAAGAAAAATAAAGAGAGGGAAGGAACCTTGTGGTTATGGTGTGGCAATTCCATGAGGGAGATTAGAGAGAAGTAGAATGTTACTTAATGTCATTAATCGAAGACTGAAGAAGACATGAAGGAGGCGACAGCAGACAAGTCCATGTGCTTCCAGCTTCCTTCCTCACTTTCACAACTCTCAGTTTTGGTCTTCTCTCTCTCTCCTTCTATAATTTTTACCAATAAATTTTCTCTCTTACCCCAATTCTTATATATGCTTGATTTTTTAAAAATGAAAATACAAAATTACAATTTTTTTTCAAAACATTGGAAGGGAAAACAGACATAAGAGACTTCACCCTTCCTTAATTTTTTTTTTCAGCAATTAGTCTTTAAATTATGAGTTGTTTGAAGTCTTCATTTTTATCATTTTATTCTATTTTTTGTAAATATGATAATTTGGTCGGTTTGTTATTTTTTGTTTAAATTTAATTGAATATGATGATATACTTTTGCTTAAGTCAAAGGTCATAAAGCATTTGCTGCTAGTTTCAGAGAATTTTGTATACAATAGAGTTTAGAGTTTGAACCTAAGACCTTATTAAATATATTGATCTAAATATAATAAGATGATAAATTACTGTCCTTCAAGTTAAACTTAGTAAAATTAGTAATAAAATATACATTATTTAATTCAACTGTACATAAAGAAGGCACACATTACTTGCTAGCTTAGATTGAAGTTATTAGATTATCACATGGTGTTAAATTTTAGATAGAAATGTAATACAAAGACCAAATTAAATTGTTATATTTTAAAAAAATAGAGGCTAAACTCGCACAATTAAAAAATAAAAAGATAAAAATTACACAAATTATATAAGTGGTGAACAAAAATTTATTTAAGATTTTTATCTACCAAATATATATATATATATATATATATATATATATATATATATATATATTATAAAGTATAGTGATTAATTAATAAAATAAATTTTACCTTTTTTTTTAATATTTTTCCATGCATATATTTAAGACTTGAACTCTTTTGAGTTTGATGTTGAAGTATAAAAAATGAAGATTTTTTTATTTAAAATAAATATTTTCTAATTTAATATTTTTAAAATAAATAATAATAATAATAATAATAAATTGATATAAATTTAATATTTTGTTTTTTTTATAAATATTATAAAATTTTAATATTAAAAAAAATACTTTTAAGGAAATCATTCTCTCAAAAAACAAATTTAAAAGGGAAATGCTTGTTTTTATTTATTTTTTATTTTTGGGTGAGAAGAGAACAAGGAATGCCAACGGTTTTATAAGGTACATGTTCTTGACAAAGACCTGGCAATATGGTACAGAACACAACTAACGTAAGACTAACTTCCCATTCAACACCTTCAAAGAGTAGAATTCAAATGAACATTGAATAAGGTAAGTATACCATCAATCTCCCAAACCAGATTCATACTCCTAACACCGGTCATGACTTGCATGGTTACCTGCTTAGTTTTTTAAGTACTAAAATATTTTCAAATAAAAAAGTGTAGGTTGAATAAACCCAAACCCTGTACAAAGTAAATATAATTACCCAAATCTTACTTCAATATGCAACATAGGTTTAGCATGTTGGTTTAATACAATTTAATTATCCTTGTTAATTGGGAATCAAAAAATCTCATTTGTACTTGTTTTTTCCTCCTTGAGACACTTGACTTATCATTACTTAGTATTATAATTACATTTTAAAAAACTGTCAAATTTTTTCTCAATATTTTTACATTAAAACATCTGTTTCAGAATAATTATCTTCATAATTCTTTTTTTTACATTAGTTGTTTTTCAAATCTTAGTTGCTTATAAAAAATGAGTATGATATTTCAATTTTTAAAAAAATTCAAATTTAATTCCTTTAAAATTTTCATACTTTCTGTATAATTTATATAGTTTTATATTACCTGAACTGATTGATTATGCATATACATCTTACCATTTTAAATGTATTTTTTAATTTATACCTGTCCAAAATTTTCTAATTTAAAATTCTCGTGCAAGAATTCTTGCTAGTTTGGCCTAATTGATGAATCGGTCAACTCACCAATTTGATATGAATTGAATTGAATTTAGAAAACTACACGTGAAAAATTAATTACTTTTGCCGTAAATTAAATAATTCCTAGTTGTCCAACATTATATTCGCATGGTAGTAGCCATCCAACACGTCTTCTGATCCATAATTCATTTGAAGACTCCGCCCAAGAACTTGCACACTCTTTTGTTAACTTGGTCGTGTCATGTTTTGATTTCAATAATATTTCAAAGATGGGAATTAACTATTAAGTTGTGAACCCAATTAAGAAGCCATGTTCTCTTTCCGAGCTTTTCTTTTAGTTTGGTAGCAAGTTGTTGTTCCTTGTGTGATTCTTGTTCCATAAGTTTAGTTCACTTAATACATGGTTGAATTTTCATCTTTTGCTTCCATTTCACTCATTCATATATACTTTCTTACAACCCCATCACCTACTGCTTCGCTTCACTTGGAATTCATATAAGAAAGCTATGTTCTTATCTAATGTTTTCTAATTAGTTACTAACACCAAACTTGAATACCCCTTTTGAAGCCTGATAGATTAGAGGGTCAATTAAGCGGAAATAAGAATCAGAAACTGAGACTCTTTTTGCATTCAGGCATTTAGCTTTCCTATTTCATGTTTTAGTAGCCATTTTCTATCTTTCAACCAGATAAGTTTTTTGGAGGGGATCGGAATAAATAGTTAAAGTAAAAAAATTAGCTGCTTGGAAGTTTAGTGATTGATAATGGTATAATGGGAAAACAAGGGTGTAGCAGAGGTGTACTAGGATGCAGTGATTCTCCTTCTTGGAGGAGGATCACAGAGGTTGATTGGCGTTGTAATTCCAAAACCTTGTTGCTTCATGGGCTCAAGAGTGATGCTTTAAAATATAGTTCTTGTAAGGGACTCTATGCTGGGAAAAAGCATTTGTGGCTCCAAAAGCACTTAAGGACCATAGTTGTTATGGTTGGATTGTTGGGATGCCTTTTGCTTCTTGATTCTCTTGTGGTCTCTTTCTCTGATTTTGCAAACTTTCAACCCAGCACAGCCTCAAGTAATTCAAGCGGGTTTCAGGTACAACGTTCTTCTCATGTTTGTTAGTTTAAGAATTTTTCATGCATGAGCTTCCATTGATTGAATCTTTTGTGAAATCTATATTTATGTAGAGAACCCTCTTCCTTTAAACATGTTTAAATCACATGGTCTTTCTTTTTTATGTTAAAAATTACAATCTTTATTATATATCACGATTTAATCTGTTTTAAAATAAATTAATCGTTTATATTTAGTCAAAAAAATTTCTTTTTTGAATTCTTACTATAAAATTTAAGATTTCAAAAGATAATATAAATCGAGTAGTTTCAAAGTTGATAATACGAATACTCAAAATATTTTATTTACCAAAATTTAAAAACCAATAATATGATATTTAAAATTAGTTGTTAGTAACCATATATAGTAGTTAAAGAAAAAAGAAAAATAATCATAAATGTTCTTTCAAAGTTTTTCACCCTCATTAACATACCTATTTTTTTTTTATATAGAAATTAACATACCTCTTTACATTGAATTGAACTGAAGTATAACATTATCAAGAGAAGAAAGTGCAATTTTTAAAATAAAAAAGATGTAATGTAATTAAAGCATTTATAAAAGAAAGAAAAAAAAAAGGTGTATTGTTTTACTTTGATTATATATAATTACAATTTTTTTGTCAATGATTATATTATTAAAATAATCATATTTGTTTTGCTTTAAGGTTTTAGGCCCAAAACAAAGACGCTTAATCGTGTGTAAAGTAAGATGACGAGTGTCTGGGGATCCATTATGAACGAAAAACGGGGATAGTCTATTCTCCTCTATAAAATGTGACAAGCATCTCTCAATAATTATTATTATACTATCCTATTAAGTAACAATGAGGGAGTAAGGCGAGATCCACATACATAAATTGTATAAGATCTTTATATAATTTTAGGGATGGATTCATCATATAATCAGTAATCAATATGCCTTCAACAGATACGCAAGGAAGTTATATATAAATTGGGGTTCAAATATCATGTATCATGATGTGGGTTTATAGTAGGATACGTGATTTATCCTATACTTAGTACCCTCCTTGATTACTATCTAAGAGAACTAGGTTAGCCCCATATGTTCCTATTTATCCCCTTTAGTCTTAACCATGTTCGAGTCATTAAACCTGAGTTAACCTTTACCAGAGAAATTTTTTCAATAATGTTCTCTATCTTTGATAATGAAGTGCATGCATGCTGCATGGAAAGTTTCTCTTCCGATTTGGATGTAAGTTTGTGAATGTTTTGACACATTATTTTAACCTAGCTGATCAACGCATATATCTCAAATAAAGTAGAATCTGAGTTGAAATTAACTATCACTTCTAAAGTTCACTTGGTATTTTACAATGATACTTGTTGACTGGTACAAGCACTAACACATTTATTTTAATGAGAAGGGTAGGGATCTCTACGTCAACAAGAAACAATCACCAATAGAAATGTATGATCGGCTAATAAACATGGCTTCCAATGTTCTTGCTGAGGTTTGTGTTTAAGTATTCTGCTGATAAATGTTTCTGGACTAGCAGTTGGATACTTTGATCACCTATAAAATCATGGACGTTCCTCATGTTTGGGGTGTCGAAAAAATGTCAAACACATTTCCATGTTGCACATGTCTCATACATATCAACCCTTCTTCGTTAGACATTCAAACACTCAAACTAATACTTTTGAATAATATGTTCTTAAAACATTTAATCGTTTAGAGAAATGAATTTAAAATATAATATAAAATATTAAAAATAATATTTTTATGTGAAAAATGGAAGAACAAATCTCATTTAATTGATCTTATCATGAATAATTAAGATTAAAATGTATGATTATATGACTTTTTAAAATAATTGTGTAAATTTATAAAATTTTAATGATTCATATATAATTATATAATTTAAATTTATTTTTATATAAAAAATATTTTCAGTAAATATATCTCAGAAAATATATTTTGATGCTGTTTATTATGATAAAAAAATGTAAAACTTTTTTGAGAAGGTAGATTGTAACAAGGTTATATTAATCTCTCTCTTTCTCCTCAATCATATATTGTCATGTTTGGTGTACATGCTACTTTTGGAGTGCACTTGTGTCTGGTTTAACTACTGTTTTTGTGTACAATAGAGGGATTTGAAGCAAGAGCCATCCAATTTGTGGGTGGAACCATATCACCAAGCAGCATCTTCATGGGAACGTTGTGCTGACAGAAAAGCCCAAACCAATCCGGGTATATATTATGAACCTTTCTTATGCATTCACTAATGTCCTAAAATACGATTTAAATATATATTTATAACATATATACATTTCATTCTTATATACAACAATACAAACTTAAAATTATTGCAACTTGCTTTTCATAATATATAACCATGTAATTATACAGTTAATCATTTTTGACAGGGAACTCAGTAGAAAGTAACGGCTACATCTTAGTCAGTGCAAATGGTGGTCTTAATCAACAGCGAGTCGCTGTAAGTATTGATAGTTAGCGATCGTTATATTCCATATTGGGTACCAACTTTGCACATTTCAGAAATACAAACAACTAAACGTACAATTCATGATGTTTGTCACTAATCACATTGAATATTTGACTATAAATTTTAGTGAACAATATATGAGACTGAATATTGAGAGTATATTATACAGTTGATATGAAAAAGAGTAAGCCTCAATTATTTTCCTATTAGCAGATTTGTAATGCTGTTGCCGTTGCGTCCCTACTCAATGCAACTCTAGTTATTCCAAAGTTTCTTTACAGCAATGTATGGAACGATCCAAGGTAAAACATCGGGTTTAGAACTATAATCAAAACGACAACATTTTTTCCGTTAGTACACGTCTTTTTTATTATTATTATTGTTGTTGTTGTTCCTTTTAATTATACCGTTAAAGGTTTCATTTTCTCTCTAATGCAGATTGAATATGTTAATTTCCTGCTTATATTGTTCTTCCTTCTCCTGTTATTCTTCTTTCTTTCATATTTTTTTTAAAATTGAGGTCTTCTTATAAGATTTTCCTTAGGCTACATATTTTGGAACATAATTTTGAAGTAACCAATACCGTCCATTTGTTGATACTGGTTTCTGATTATCATAAAATAATGTCACGATTGGTTTTAATCATTAGCTTTGTATAATTTGAATACTTAGTAATTTTGCATTAATTGGATTAATATTCAGTTCTGGAATGATTGGTTTTAATCTTTATGTTGCCTTTTTTTTTCGTTGTAATTGCTACCTCAGTAATTAAAAAGTAATATAATTTCTTACATACTTAAGAGTATTACATCCACTCCAATACAATATAACATGTAAGCAACATAACCATACATGTCGTTGGATTCGATTTAAAGTATTTAGATCAAATCTAAACTATTGAGAGTATTTCTGGTTTGCCTAGATTTTTTTCAAAAATTATGTGATTTCATTTGAATTATTCAATTGTTGATTCACGTGTATAATTTGACAAAATGCAGTCAGTTTGGAGACATATACCAGGTTGAGCATTTCATGAATATCCTGAAGGATGATATCAACATTGAGAGGGAACTCCCTCCTCATATGAAATCATTGGATGTAGAAGCAATTGGTAGCCAGGTTTAATATCTCACATTTTATGTTGTTGATACTTCTTGAAGGTTTTATGATAATGTCACTCAGCGCCTTGCATTTTAGATTACAGATGCAGATCTTGTGAAGGAGGCCACAGCTGCTGACTATATCAAAATTGTGCTTCCTCTTCTTTTAAGAAATGGAGTTGTTCACTTCCTTGGATATGGAAATCGACTAGGTTTTGATCCACTTCCTTCTCATATTCAGGTTATAATAAATTTGCCTTGTTAATTTAGTTTTGAACAATGTTACTAGTTACTGGCTGCTTGCCTTAATATTCATTAAGAATGCTGATAGATATGAGCATCCCTTCTGCCACAAATTCACAATTAAATATCTAATTGTTTTCACACAAAATTCTTATTGTTACCTTCTGAAGATTCATAATCGTGAAAGATAAAATTGATGAATCTTTGGAGATTTGTTACAAAACAATGAGTTCCCATTAGGCCAATGCTGCTTGTGCACAACAGATACATTGTCACCTTGCACTCTTTTTTATCACCTAGTTTAAATTCTTCGGTGTGATTTATACTACTAGTCTTACATGAAAGTCTCTTTTTCCGTCAACCACTATCATTTGATGAAAATTTATTTTAAATGAGCATAGTTTGCTTTGCTTGAAGTAGCTCACCTAAAATAATTGCAGAGGTTAAGATGCAAATGTAATTTCCATGCGTTGAAGTTTATCCCAAAAATTCAAGAAGTTGGCTCACTATTGATAAAAAAGATTAGAAAATATAGTGCTCCACGAAGCATGTTGGATACTCAGTTGCTGGGGGAGTTCATTGGCAACAACAAAGATCACAATGAAGCTAGAGGCTCAGCCAAATATCTTGCTTTGCATTTAAGATTTGAAGTTGACATGGTGGCCTATTCCTTATGTGAATTTGGAGGTGGGGAAAATGAGAGAAAAGAACTACGAGCCTATAGAGAAAGCCATTTTCCTCTACTTCTTGAGCGCTTGAAGAATTCAAGGTTGGTATGGTTCAACCATATATTTTTCAACAAATTTTTTAGATAAATTAGTGTTCTTATAATTTGTGTAAGACTTTTCTGGCTTGTATTATTGATGTTTATAGCCCAGTCTCTCCAGTGAAGTTGAGGAAATTGGGAAGATGCCCTTTGACCCCAGAAGAAGCAGCACTTGTTTTAGCAGGTCTTGGTTTCAAACGTGGAACTTACATTTACTTGGCTGGTTCTCATATTTATGGGGGAGATTCAAGAATGCATCCCTTCACTAGACTCTATCCCAATGTGATCACCAAGGAAGATCTGCTTGCACCTAGTGAACTAGCACCCTTTAGAAATTTTTCTTCTCAGGTATTTTGATATTTGTGGTGTTAATCTAAGCCATTCAATCTTAACATAGACACTCCTACGATTGTATAATTGATGGTAGCTCCTTTTACCTTATAAAGTATACACTGTGTGCGCCCTTCATTTTAACATTAGTGTTATAAGTATTTATTAATAATCTTTAAACGTGAACTTGTTAAGTTAAATATCCAAAATTAGTTTAATATAAATTATTTATATTATTTTTTATTACACCGTGAATCACATGAGCACTAATGCTAGTTCATTCTAACAGTAATCCCCTTCTTTCAAATGAAAAATTTTCAATTCCCAATCAGTTCTTACTTAGGTGTTAACTGTGCAGTCATATTTTTGCCATCATCTTCTCTACATGTTTTTTATAAGGAGAACTATATATAACAACTCATTAAGGTCCAAGGTGAATTTTTCCCTCTCCCCACTTGGTTCAATGATATGGATAGGGAAAATTTCAATTGTAGTCATTTTTTTTAGTAGTGAAAAGTATTGTTAAACTAAACAAAATGGAGACGTAGTTCAATTCGAAGTACTAAAGTTCAGTAAATTTGTATACAATAAGTGCACAAGCTACAAAGTTTGTATTAGCATTGTTAATTAATAGAGAATTGAAATATTAAACTACTGAAATACTAGAAAATCTAACTAGGTCCTTAATTGATAAATGACAACTCAAGTTGTACGTATAAGTTTTTCAACTGATAGTAACCAGAGTGATTTTGATCTTACATATATGATGCTGGTAGAATTTTCATTTTAAGTATAACTTCAAAGTACTAACAAAGTGTTTCTATTCTGATATTAATGCAGCTAGCTGCTTTGGACTTTATTGTATGCGCTACTGCTGATGTATTTGCCATGACGGATTCAGGTAGCCAACTCTCATCAATGGTATCTGGATTCAGAACATATTATGGTGGTGATCATGCTCCTACCTTGAGGCCAAACAAGAAGAGATTAGCAGCAATTTTGTGGGAGAATGGCACCATTGGATGGAACAATTTTGAAGAGAGAGTAAAGAAAATGATCCAGGAAAGTCAGAAGCTTAGCATAAGGAAATATGGTAGAAGCATTTATCGACAGCCTAGGTGCCCAGAGTGTATGTGCAAACAATAATGAAGTAGCTTTTAACCTTTGTACTATAGTCTATAATATGTACTAGTTTAAATTTTAATTTCAAAAGCCACTGGTTTTTTTTATGTTGGCTATATCTAATTAATGATAATTCTTCCTCTAATGGGTGTTATGTCACCACTTACAGTTCCATTTGCATCTTTGCCATCTGATAGCATTTCGATCCTATAAGTGATACAATCATGCTTTGCGTGTAGATGTGCATTTTAAATTAGGAATAAGCTTTAAAATATTTTTATTCTTTTTAATTTTTATTAATGCTAATCCTACTAAATTTTTTTTTTTTTTTTATGTATCGCTATCCTATTTAAAAATAACAATCATTTAGTAATAACATATCATGTATTTAAATATATCACATTAACAATATTTTAAGGTGGTGTATAACACAGTATGTCTATATATATATATATATATATATATGACACCTTATTAATACGTAGGATGAGATTGTTTTCAAAATCTTTAAAATTTGTGTGGGGCATCTATTAATTTTTTTTGGAAAATACTATAATTCAAATTTGTCGTATTTACATAAACTAATAATTTATTTCATCCTTAAAAATTTTACTTTTAAATGAAATGATTTTTATTTAATATTGTATTTTATATATTTATCTATTTATTTGTCTTAAATATTATTGTTTATATTTAATCATTTTGAATTTAAATTTTAATATCATATTAAACTGAGTAATTTTTTTTTCTCTTAAGAGTTGTTTAAATCATATTATTTTTTATTTCAAAAATTATAATTTTCTCCCATGAAAGATCAACATATAATTAGTCTGTAAGTGATGGTTAACAATTGTGTAAAACCTTCAAAGGCATTTTTCTTTTTTCTTTAACTTACAATGTTACTAGTAATTAATTTTGAATAATATGTTAACAATTTTTAACTTTAGTAGATAGAATGACATTTTGAATGGCTACACTATTGACTTTGTAACTTCACTCAATTTTCATTGTATCTTTTTAAATTCTAAAATTGATAATAAGGAAACTAGCTACTGATAACAAAAAGAGAGAAAATTTGATCGAAAATAAGTTGTTTACATAATTAAATTTTGCATTTGCACAATGCATAACTTATAAAGTAAGTAATATTTTTTATATTATTGATCATTTTATTTATATTAACCTAAAACAACTTGTTTTACATTATTTATATTATCTTGTTTATTTAATTAAAATATTTTAAATCAGAACAAAATTTAAAAATATTATTATAATTGTTAAGAAAGTAAATTATATAATTATTAAATTTTAAGTTATGACTAAGTAATTGTTATAAAATTTTATACTTATCAACTAATTTAATAGTTAATTTTATTAAATATTTTTAATAAAATAAGCAAACTGATTTCAACTTTTAATTAATTTATTTTATTCAATATATCTTCTGAAGATGATAAAGACAATTTTTTTTTATATATTTTACAAGCCACATTAAATTCAATTTTTGAATTGAAATTTGTTAGAATTTTAATTAACTTTTGAACTTTTAATTAATTGGTTCAATAAACTTTTCAAACATACCCTGTAAAGATGATAAGAATAGGTTGGATTAAGTTCGAATTTGAATGGGATTCTTATAAAATTTGATGATGTTCCCATTTTCTCTTGTGCGATGTTTTGTTATATTTTTGTTTGGTGTTTATATTGCTAACTTCCTATCTAATATATTGTTATTCTTAATGAGAAGAATAATATATGATTTTAAACATAGTCAATTTAATTAATAACTAAGTAATAATATATGATTTGAGGATAATTAAAAAAAATTACAGTAGTATTACAGAAAGTACATAAATAAATAAAACGAATAATAAAAATTTCCATTATCTGTGCCATATATGTAGTGCTGTCCAAGTATTGCTATGCAAGGCGAAACAATGAAAATAGCAGGAATATGTTCTCAAACATATTTCCACGGAAAATAATTACTGATCACTGAATCCAACCACTAAAGTGATTAGATTAGATGAATGGATTAAGAAAGTGACAAATAAACAATTAAAAATTAAATGAACAAATAACTTTATGTTGTATTATGAAAAAATTGAAATTAACCCAATTCAATCAACTGTATAAAATGTAAGATAATTAAATGAACAGTGAAACCCTTCCTCTGCTACCTGAAAATTACATACATGAACATTTTTCTTGCTCTTCACTCCCATACCCTTTTATCTGGAAATGATGCTTTTCCTCTAACATGTGTAATAGAATTTTCTTATGATGGAGGGAAGAACCGGTTGAGGTTGAAAGGGAGTGTGTAGAACTCTTCATTCCGGCTATCTCCTTTAAATGTTCTAAACTTAGCCCACCATGGCATTCCCCTATCTTTGGCGCTATCCTTGTAGTCAAGGGTGTTGTCCAAAAACACAGCAACAATCAATGCAACAGTTGGGGAAGAAAAGAATATAGTATTAAGGAAATCATTGAACTGCAAAGTCAAAGGACCCAAAAAAAAAAAATCATTATAATTTCTCTGTGAAAATAATGCTAATGTATATGTGGACTAGTTAATTTTTATCATTTAATCAAAGATTGGTTTTATTGAAATTTAATATTATAAAACAATAAACTCACCCATCCAGCTCTGGTATGAGCAGGACCATGAAGGGCCCTTATAGTGTATTCTCTGAAATATTCAGGAATGGATAAACCTAAGAAGAGTGCAACACCAGTAATAAAGAGGTTCCTCATTGAGTTCATGTTAGTGAATTGCAAAAACGATAGCCCCACAGAAGCTGAAAAAAGAAATAGTAATGGTCAAAATAAGAATGCAGAGTGATCAAGTAAAATAAATAAAATACTGGTGAGTACTCAACTCACCTACAAGACCAAACAAAACACAGTACACAGCAGCAAAAATGGGGAATGGTATTGATGCAAATAAAGCTCCAAATTTTCCTGAAGAAAAAGCAAATCATGAATTTTTAGTACTTGGAATTAATTTACACATCTATAATGTACCCAGTAGTTTGACACTCACCTAGCATTGAAAAGAATATCATAAAGCCAGCCGAAACTTGAATGACCCTTCTACTGCCAATGCGATTGCTTCCTAGAAGCCCCACATTCTCTCTGTCATAATCGTAAAAAAATCAATTTGTGCCCATAAAAAGTGTAAAAAAGTATGAACCCACTTCATTAAGAATGGCACTCACACAGAAACTGTTGAACCAGTCAGTGTTCCAAAAAGGCCATTCAGCAAGATTCCAATTCCCTGCCAACCAATACCACGACTGAGGACATGAGCAGGAGGCGGTGTGGCACTTGCTAGGCGTGATGCAGCTTTGTATGCTCCAGTTGACTGTTGTCAAAACAAAAAGCAAAAATTCTTATAAGAACTGTGTTGGTACCTTAAAAATAATATTTTTTAATTTCAGCATTAGTCAACAATATTAAATATCACTGCCCTAAGATTTTTATGTAGTACGTGGCAATACCTCAACTAATGAGACTAACACAGCAGCCATCATTCCAAAAGCATGGCCAGCATCAAATGTAGGAGCACCCCACTCAAGAGGGTATGGAATCTTTATCCTGCCACAACATGTTCAAGAGTCAATAAATATGACAATAACTTACTCAACCTATTCTTTGCTATACTGATGTATAGAATTATTTTTTAACAGTAATAGAAGTATATGGCATGTCACAAATATTCAACTACACAAAGGTGCTTTTGGTACCAACCATGGAGCAGAAGAAATAAGATTGGCCCTGTCTGTCCTGCAACTATGTTGGGTTAATTCTGGGCGGTGTTTGTATGCTCCACTTGCTGTTAACAAATGTGCATATGCCCATATCACTGTAGTTGATATGAGTAATGCAAATCGCTCTAGTATTGGTATTTGTCTTATGTGAAAATTTTTCAAGTACTGCATACAACACATTATTATGAGTGGTCAGTGTTCAGGGATTTGGGTACTTTACTTAATAAGCTTTTTAGTTCAAACCTATGCTGCTATGAAACAAATTCAAAAGAAAGGTAAGATAATCATAACATAGAATAGAAGTCTCCAATTTCTACTCGTTATCTTTAGTTGTTCACACAAGCTAATTTAAACGGTAGCTTTTTAATTTACCTAAGTGAGATAATTACAGTAAATCTTATTTGTACCTGAGAGAATGCTATAAACAGGATTAGCATGGGAATTCCAATTTCAACGCAAGTCCCCACCTAAGAAAGAACAAGGCAATATGTTAAATTTCATAATTTAGATATTCTGACAAATAGTACTAGTAACATGTGGTTTAGTGTTATACCACAAGGAAGCCTCTGTCAAATAAGCCAAAACCAACTAACGCAATTACTGGAACCATTCCAAGTGGGCTGAAAAACCTGCGTATAAAGGAAAAGGACATTAATTATTTTATATATAGAGTATGGGTATAGATTTCACATAATAATAATAATAATAACAATAATAGCTTACCTAGAACAGATAGCCCATATTTGACTAAATCCCAAAATAATTTGTATGCTTGATGCTACTATTAGTGCACCTTGGACTGCTCTCATAGTGCTAAGAAATCTCTGGAAATAAATGGAAGACACCATTGGATTAAGCTATGGAGATGAGAAATTCAAGATAATTTCGTACGCTTTATTTTCTACATTATTCTAAACTTGGTCGCATGTTATTTTTCTTGTAGTAAATGTCTGGTAAAAAAGGCAATATCACGTGTAACGTCGAGCCCACCATAATGTCAAGAATCTTAACAATACATATCCTAATGTGCATAGCACTATAGCTCATTGTTTAGTAAAGATATTTTTTTTTTTCAGTTAAGACCAAGAATATAACCTTGAATGATCATATTGAGTAAACTTAAATGCTCATATGCATAGATCGTCCATAAGCTAATATGAACTTCAACTTAACAAGGACAAAAAGATGAAAGAGAGATTACAGAAATGTACTGACCAAATGTGGGTCCTCTATCATTGCAAAAGAAGGATCACGAATTATCGATACAACGGGGACCATGAAAGCATATGATCCTCCTACCACTGTTGGTAATCGGGTTCCAAACAGTGTCTGTAAAAGTGTATTAATTCCTTCAACAAAAAGCAGGGTCTGTACCACCCTCACTTTATCATCCTGAACCAACAACAAAGTCAATTACATGAATACCAATTCAATTCTCTCTCTACCTTGGCAAGTATAAGCCAAATTCATTTCAGGGCCACCAAATTTCTTCTTCGGTGGGATCCACCCAGTTCATTTTAGCATATGACAAGATCAAATACATAAAACAAATAAATCAATCAATCAAAACTTTTCCTCAGTAGAGATTTCCCAGTACTATATTAAAAATAAAAATCATCAGTATCAATCAGAATAATGAAACAAACTTAGGTAGTTATTAGAAGGACTTGAACTTAGGAATAGCATACATCACTTCCACCCATCGCAGGCACAAGAAATGAAGGAATCATCACGGCAGTTCCTAAGGCCAAAATGTAATGCTGGAAACCCAAAGCTATTGTCTCAGCTGTTAATAGTTCAACAGAGATATATCATTCACAGTGAAAACTAAACTAGAAACAACAAAACACAAACATTCCAGTTTGAGAAAAGATTGAAGCTGAGCATGCATACCCCAAGATGGGTTTGAATCTATACAGTACTCTAAGCCTTGAAGTTGGTCCATTGGTTGGTGGCTTATCTCATCTGCCTTTATAGCTGCCATGATCAAATCTTCTTTTGCTGGCTTATGAAGAAGAACAACAAGAAGCAGAAACAGCACCAGAGAGAGGATCCTCCAAGTAAGAAAGTGAAGGTGAAGAAACTACGATTGATTCAGTGAGAATGGAGAAGGAATGGAACTGATAGAATCAATGCATGACGTTGAAAAGGCCGCAACAAATTATGGAAGCAAAAGAATATAAATAAAAAAGGAAAAAAAGAGAAAGTTTTATGGCATTGAGCACTGAGGTCTTGCTTTCTTCAACTTTGTTAGCAGTTAACTCTCTCTCTATGTGTGCTTTTGATTTATTTGCAATATATATATCAAAGTGTTCCGTTAACTTTTCAATATTCCCATAATGCCCCTTAAGGAACTTCCAAAAAACTGAACTCCAATGTTACCGTTGCTTCACTGTTCCCATTAAACTTTACAACTAAGTTTTTTTTTGTATGTAACTGAGAACTAAAGTGCCATTCATAGGAATGCATTAATGATAAATGTGAAGGTGAGTTTGCCACAGAGCTAAAAGAGTTTCAAAGTCCAATTTTTTTAAATATTGAAAATTAATAGTTAATGCACAAACATTTAATTATATTTAATGTACTTTTAATAAATGAGCAAATATTAATATTTCATCGAAGATACAGTACCTATAATAGCAACTCTAATAAATTTGTATTGAATATGAAGATTTCACACCTCATTTATAGTAACTTCCAAAATTTTAAGGTGTGTTTATGGGATATTTGACGTGTATTTAGAAGTGCACTACCTTTATTTTTAATTTATAACAAATTATCTTGAGGATAGAAATCATGCGTTCAAATATTAAAATAAAAACATTTTTTATGTGGCACAAAAATTGGTGGTATGTTAAAAAAAATGAACATATACCTAACTGTAATAGGAAGATGAAAATTACACATTTGTTTGTCAAGTGTGCATGCCCTTTAAATATTTTCTACCGTTCATGGCAAATGGATTGTGATTAGACAAAAAAGTTTTGAAAATTACTCTAAAATTAATCAATAATAAGATTCAGAAGTTAGGAATAGTAATTATAAAAAATTAAATTCTTCCTAAGAATATATAGTTTTTAAAAAATAATTTATTATTATATTCCAATATATATTTAGATGATAAAAAATATTTTAAAATTTTAATTAAATATATTTTATGTTAAACAAAAATAATTTCAAATAAATTATTTTAAAAAATAAAAATTTCTCTATTATATTTAATTTTTTTGTTTTAACTCGTCTCTTGAATTCCACTTTAAAAATTTCCTCATTGTTAATTTTATATTTTTTTAAATTTTCATCTAAATACAACTTAAAAGTTACTTGTTTATACAAAAAATTATTTTATTTTAACTTGTAATTATAATTTTGAGTTTTAATAAATACAATTATATTAAATACTTAAAAAATATATAGTGATCTATTTCATTTAATATTTTAAAAATATACATTCGATTCAATTAAACATTGTACCATCGTTATAAATTTTGAACTTCATTGAATTATTCTCAACACTTAGCAGGATATATGTAAAATAATCAGGATTTAAATCTTGGATCATAAAATATTTTCACATCCTATTTTCCTCCTCCAATAAAAAAAACAAAAGAACTTTCTTGAACTGATAAAAAAAATGTTTGTGATTTGTTCATAGTGGCATCCGTATTTATTCTTACTAGAAATAAATTTGATTATTAAAATTCAAATTTATAATAAGTAATTGTTGAAAACACTTTCACGTTTCCTTTAAAAAATTTATGGTGCAATTCAAACTTCGAATATTGTATATAAAAAAAAATCATGTACCACTCATTTGTTTCCTTTAACAAATTCAGTGGTTTAAGAATCTGGTGCTATCTACATTCATATATACATTAAATTTATTTTAAGAAAATACTTTTAATACGCATTTTAAATAAAAATATTTTTAACAGTCATTCTCTTTATCATTGCACCGTGTAATTTCTCTTACATTTGATATTTAATTTTTAATTCAATCATAAATTTAAATTCTGAATTTTTCATAATCTATTTATAAATTAAAAAAACTTTAATTAGTCTTATTTAATATAGTCAAATATTTATTGTTAATAATATTTCTTATAAATATATTAAATATGAAAACAGTTATACAATGTATTTAAATTATTTTAATTGAGTAATACCCGTTCAATTGACCAAAAATATACTAGCTATAATAATAATATAATATCGTTTTCAGAAATAAATAAATAAATAAATACGAAATCTACCTTTAGGGATAGGAGGACAAATTGAATTTATTTAATTTGACATTACTCTTCTGAAGCAATATTTAAAATTGACATTGGTTCAAATTTTAAACTTAAATTGTGGTTGTAATAATAATAATAATAATAATTGTGGTTCCATATTTGAAAAAGGTAATTTAAATTAAAAATATACGATAAACAATGTATATTATTATTAAATTTCTCCAAAATTTGAACTAGCGGGGATTTAAATGAATCCTAAACAAATTGAATATAATGTAACGGTATTATTAAACAAAAACTGCAGAATTAGAATGTATAGAATATTTGAATATTTTGAATTGTTGGGTCATTTTCTTGCGTGGAAGGTTTTTGACACAGCAGAGTTAGTTTCCGTCTAATAAAGTAAAGAAGGAACAGAACAGAGTTGAGAGTACCAATCTCTAACGTCTCTCTGTTTAGAGTTGAGAGTTACCATTGATCTTCGAGCCCTTTACTCTTCACTCTCCATTTTTTACATGCTTTCATTTTCCACTTTTTTTGTTCACTGCAATTGCTTTTCAATTCTCAGCAGCACAAGGAACTGCCCAACCACCATTCAAATAAAAATAATGCTTATTCTTTTATTCACTAAATGGTGTGCTAATTTGTTTATTCTTTTTCATCCACTAATAAGAAGAAAATCCCCCAAAAGTTTTCTTGAGTTAAGAATATGGGATCATTATAAGCGTCTCATGGTAAATTAAGTAACTTTTAGCATGCTACTTCTTAAAGAGAATATTCAAATAATTCTTTGCTCAACATCAGTTGAGCTTTGTATTCATATGTGCTTTTAAAGAGAGAGAAAACGAAATTTGAGTAAGGAACGAACATTAAGGCAGGGAGTCGCTATCTCCTCGCAAGTATAATGCGGTTCCATGTCAGATAATAAAAAGTGATGTGAAAAAGTCATACTAAGCCATCTTTATGGGACCAAAAGATACATAAAAGAACCAAAATGATATTCCCAAGTTATATGTAAAGCCACAATTCCTACGTATATCCCATTCAAAAACAAGATTCATTGTTCATTCATTTTATAAGGACACAAAATCATAAGAAAACGCGAACGTACTTTCGCTTTTTCCTCTTTTTGTTGCATGTGAATGCTCACCAAAAATGTCATCCATTAAGCTCGAGGGGACAAAGTTTTCCAATTTTCTTTTCTGTATATGAATTAATAATTTTGCTCAAAATTGGCATGTCATAATTTAATTAGTTGCTTTCTAGAATCTTATAATTAATTAATACAATGATACACGTAAAAGCAATCTTACAATCTAGGACGTGAAAAAAATGATAATACGATTTGGAAAACGTAGGCACGACTTTGACGCGTGGAAGGGTGTGAATACAAAACAAGGGACAAATGACAGAGGTTTCCATGTTGCCCAACTCACCACTAACTTTGATGACTCTGAAGTTGCAAGTTAGTGGTGATTAAACTGTGAAGACGAGAAGAAGTAAGACAACAAGGTCAAAAAAGAACAAAAGAAAAGAAGATGAGATAAGGCAATATTTGTATTTTCTTTCGTTTTTTAGTCATTTGACAATATTTGTAATTGACGTGACAGCTCTGAACAGTGTGACACTATGAATTGAAGCCTGCTATTTGTATTCGATTTTGCTTAACCAAAGCCTGCTCCTATTGGGCTAAATTTGGGCCAACTCTTGACCCAGAAAAATTAACACACCATCTTAGTGAATCCCTTGTGGGAATCTATATATACACTAAATTTCTTTCTCTCTCTCTTGACCAAAACAAAAGTTTGGCTTGTTTAATTTTAAAACATGCATGGTGATTTGCTTTCTTTTCAGTGGTAGTGATGTGATATCTTTTATATATTGTGGTGCTCATGGTTAGAGTTTAAAACAATAGATCCATATTATGCTCTGCAATTTTTTTGGCACATTGGTAAGAAAATTATTAAATTGTTTTGTTCATTCTAATTGCTTCGCGGGCTGGTGTTGATGTTTGGCCCAGTGCAGTTGAAATTGAAGAGTTTCCGATACTAACTATCAATTTATCACAAGCGGTGTAAATTATATATTCCTCGACAATCATGTTCTATCTTTACAATTATTAGAATTCCTTAAAATAAAATATGCATTAAAGTTGCTTACATCTATCTTAATTTGTTTCTTGTATGCTGATCAAAACATCCCTGACTTGGATCACAAAGATACACAGTGAATATTAAAATTAAAAATATTATCGAATCTCAACGATGTAGCAATGTGAAATTTCCAGCACACAAAATTAACAAATCCATCTTACCAGTCGATACCCTCAATTCAATGAGAGCGTGTAAATAGTCCTGAATCACGAAGCATGTTCAGTGGCTCAAAATAATCTGCTACGTGTGCTTTCCAATTATAGAAATCAGATTAATTTGTGTAAGTGCATGAAACCTTTTTGCTCAGAGAATCATCGAGTTGAACAACGTAGTGGTGTCCACTTCTAACTTATAAAGATTTATCAGTGATTGAACCCGCACTTTCAAGGAGGATATAACCATAACCAAGCATATCTTATCTTTGTGCATGCCACTATAACTTTACTAGGAACCAATCACTGACTTAGCAATTTGATAAGCTTAGAAGCAACTGTCTTATGATTCGTGATGGTAGTGAAAATTTTTCAAAATGAGTCAGATTGTGTAGCATATTTGGAAACATATATGTATAAAGTTAAAGGCAAAAGAAATCTAAAACTCAAGTTCACTTTAATGTGTCAGCGACAGGTGTGTCTCTCGCTAAAGAAATTTACAATTATCGGTATCATCTTTTCAAAAGCTAGAATCTTGTTACTGTAACTCAAGTGTCTGTTTTAATCACTGAGGAAACGATTTGGTTTAAAGCCAAAAAATATCACTATCATATAAAGTGCGTTGAATTTCATGTTTATAAAAAATGGAGTACACCTCGTAAGGGCAAACTAATAAGGCACTAAATCTAAGGACTTTACTAATGAATTTTTTTTAATAATAGTAGAAACTCATTGGTCGTGAATTGTAATCGATGGAATTATTGATCATATTAAGCCTAAGTAGTTGCGAGGGAGGAAAATGGATTCTCTTCTCTATTTTGTTAGCCTAAACATGAATGAAAATTCTTGAATATTACTTGGTCACTTAGGAAAGAAAATTAAGAAGACAATAAAGCTAAAAAGAAGAAAGGTAAAAGGCAAAAGAGTACTGAACGAGGTCACGTCTCAGGAGTATACCGTAAGAATAGGAAACTTGTTTATTTTCATATGAAGCATCTCGCCCCCTTCTCAAAACATACATCCATTCCTTTCATGTTTTGTTTGAATGCTGGAAAAAGGGAGAAAAGAAAATTCAAAGGTAAAAGAGAAGAAAGGACAAAATAAAAAAGAAGAAGATATATATACATATATATATATATTCCCTAATCTTGAGATATTTATATTTTTAACGACTTGTAAATGCTTGTAGATTTTAGGGATCATGATGAGACAATTTTGGTTAATTTATACTTTTCTTTCATTTAACGCTAATTTTAATTGGGTCAACCTGAATCTATTCTTAAGCCCGATTATGTAAAGGTCCAATTAAGATTAGTAAGACGGGATTAATTGGCTTGAAACATTCAACGAATGTAACATGCCTTGAATAGATACATTCTTAAAAAAATTAATTAAATAAATTTCAATATGAGAACGATGGAAAATTTATCACAAAGCAACTTGGCTAATATATCTTAATAAAAGAGGTTGTTGAAATCACTTAGACTAGTGATGTTGGTAAAAAAGAAGAGAGGGTAGGGAAGGAATAGAAACAAAAAAACGTTTATGGGAAAGATTAAGTCAACTTTACTCAATTTGACCAATAAACAAGATATCAAGCGATAAATAACTTAACACGGGGTCAGGATTAGAAATGTGAGAATTTCTTTTTAGGAACAAAGTTAAATCTTACTCAAATTAATTTAGGGTGACAGAATGAGGTATAGAATCAATTCTTGTATGTATCTAATGAGTTATGCTAAAAAATAGAATTGCTATAAAAGAAGGTTTTTGTTAACCTTAACCTTGATAAATAATTAATAATAATAAAATTTTATTAAAAAAATATTTATTATATTTTTATAACTTCAATACAATGAATGTATATTTATTTTAATAAAAAAATTATTTATAAATGATTAAACTCCATAAAAAAAAATAACCTGACAAGAGAAATATACATTTATTTGTATGAAATATGAGATTAATCTGCTTACAAGTAGAATAATCATTATTAATTAGTGGATTGTAAAATTAAAGCCGCCACGTGCCAGTTGATTGTAGCAAATGTCAAAAAATAGTTTGACCTATTATTATAACCCAACCAAGCTGGGCGTTGGTTCAACAATTGACTACACAAATATGAGACAGTGGCACTTGATGACTTGATTACAAATTAAACCCCACCTCAAATTTTTATAGATTTTCTACGTTCATGGGGGAACAAAATGTTCTTATTCAATGCTCATAATATACGTTGGGAAGATTCTCCTCTTATACTTTTCCATGGAAATGATTCAAAAATTCAAAATTAATAACATGTATTCATACTAAACACCTATTTGTAAGCCACTCCTTGACCAATGACCAGCACCACATTCTTCCACCATCTATTAGACAAATCAGCCTACCATATTGACAAATCAAGAATGAACGCAGCTCACAAATTTCTACAGAGGACCGAATGTTTACGTCCACGATCCCTTCAAGACAAAGAAAACCCGTAACCTGCGAATTGACATGCATTATATATTATACCTCTACCAACCATTGTTTCTTTATTTTATATTCCATGCACTGAATGGGACACTTAGCTAAAGATAGATAAATCAGCAAGGGAATAAAACATAAAGAAAAGAAACAAACTGAAAGAGGAGATACAACAAAATAATAAAAAATAGAGTAGAAAAATATATTTTTTTAAAGTGAAGGGAGCATATAAAAATGGGAACTCCTCACTCCTCAGTGGGATTCTCTGCCATATGCTACTCCCAAAATAATTTAAGAAAAAAAGCTAAACTAGAACTACTCCCATTCCCATTCCCATTCCCATTCCCATTCACATTCATTATGGCCATCTTTTTGTCCTTTTCTACTTTTTCTTTTTCTGTGAAAAAAATTAGTCTATACACAGCATGATGACAATGACAATAAGAACTATAAAATAACATTGAGTGTTTGACGAGTCAACTCGGGACGAGTTGTTGATGAGGACGAATGTCCTTGAGCAAACCCAAAACCTGCTGCATAGAGGGCCTCTTGGAGGGCGAATCGGCCGTGCACAGAATAGCGACTCGGAGGGTCTCTACCATCTCACTCACTACTGAGTCACCGCCGAGTCGCAGCCTCTCGTCGAGCACCCTAACACCCTGCCCCTCCCTCACCGCCTTCCTCACCGCAACCACCGTCTCCGCCGTGCCTTCCTTCCGCGTCAGCAGCTCCATCACCACCACACCGAAGCAGTACACGTCAGCCTCCGTGCCGCCACACGGGTTCGGGTCGTTTCGCAACCCGAAATCGGCGATCCGGGGCTCGAAATCATCGGCGAGTAAAATGATGGACGTGACGAGGTGGCCGTGCACCACGGGTTTGGAACCCGCGTGGTGGAGGTACGCGAGGCCACGCGCTATCCCCACGGCGATACGATGTCGTGTCAGCCACCCCATTTTTTCAGGGGATCCGTCAACGACGCCGTTTTGAATCTCCCACGTGTCGCCAGTCCAATCCTCTACGTTGGTGTCCCCAGTTGGAAGCTCATGTAGCCACCTCCCTAAATCGCCGTTTGCCATGAACTCGTATAGCACCAGCTTTTCCTTACCTGATATTTTCACCAAAACATTCTATTCAAACAATATAATAATAATAATCATCTTACTAGCTTGCTCAATAAGTTTGATTATTACAAAAGTTAAAAATATCAATGTTTTATAAAATCTATAAAATTTATTTTAAATAAAAGAAAACTCATCCATTTATTATCTACCTATTGATTATGTAATGTTATATTAATAATTCTATATGTTAAATTTTAAATAAATTGAATATTTATGAATTGACAATCTTATAATAATATTTATTTATAATTTTAAAATTATACGAAATTTCATTACTTAAATGTACAAAGAGAACACTTATTAACCTAACTATTACTATAATAGGTGACTTAAAGCATCTCTCTTTTCCCTGTAAAACCAAAACAAAACATACAATTTGACACATGGATCCAGGACTTCAGATTCAAAGAAATTGTCGTGTTTGTTTATATGAATTGTGATATAATTTTGTTGAAAAAATAATGCATAAAAATTAACATATATTTTGGAGGGGACATGGCTTGTCCGCCAAAGCGAAGCTCCGTCACTGTGCACAACATTTTGATGCAAGCTTAAGGGTTGGGAAACAAAAAAGTTGAGGTAAGTACAATATGTTTTTGTCAATTATGGCCACTCAAAAATTAGACCTGCGGAAAGTACACAACGCACGAATTACCACGCGCAATCATTTCCAGCGATGATAGATTCTAGGAAGAAAGAAAGGGATGACACAACTCAACATGTTATGTTATGTTATGGAACAGAGGAAGGACATTAAAAAACTAAAACCCGTGAAACCCATTAATGAGAGCAGAGCCATGAAAACCAAAACATTTTCAAACACTTTTTGGTACGGCACAAGCACGCTTACCCGCAATGCAGTAACCGGAGAGGGGCAACAAGTTGGGGTGCTTCACCCTCGAGAGGTCAAAGAACATGCCCACACAGTCATCACGATCAACGTCTCTAGCGTGTTCCACCACCTTAATTGCCACGTGGAGATCACCAGGTAGAACGGCCCGGTACACGGGCCCACACCTTCCCTCCGCGAGAAGCGAGTCCTTCCCAAAGTGTGACGTGGCAACGATGAGGTCCTTGAAGCTGAGATTCATCAATGGCTTCTCGAACATCACCACTGGCGCCGAGGACGGTTCTTTGAGGTCAGCGACCCACGTTGACCCTGATTCGGTTTCAAACGCGAACGGCCCTGATTTCTCCACCATCACGTTCGTGCCATGTGGGATCGGCATGGAGATTGCCCATTTGTTCCTCTTGGCGCGTTCCTTCCTCCTTTTGTGAATAACGCGAAGTGCCCAAACGGACAACACGATTAGGACAAGTGCTGAGGACGCTGCAGGAATTACCGTTTTGGACTTTGGCTTCGGGTGTTTTTCTCTCTGGGGTGGGGTTGCTGAGTTTCGAGTTTCACTACTGTTGTCGTATGTGAAGTTGTTGCCAGCGTGGATGAAAGATGATTTGTTGAATTTCTTCAACTTGTTTAGGCTAATGGATGAGGTGAAATTGTTGTACGAGATGTTGAGGAATTTGAGGGTGCTGAGTGGAGGGAAATCAGAAGGGAAAGAACCGGTTAAAGTGTTGTTTGATAAGTCCAAGTAATGGAGGGAGTGCAGAGTGGAAATGGGTTTTGTGTTGCCTTGGAGATTGCAGCTTGAGAGGTCAAGGTGTTGTAGTTTGGTGAGGTTTGGGAACCCGGAAGGGAGTGTTATTAGCTGGTTGTGAGAAAGGTCGAGGATTTGAAGGTTTTGGAAGCCAGCGAGTTGAACTGAATTGGTGAACCTGTTGTGTGAGAGATTGAGCGTTTGAATGGATGAAAACGAGGTGTTTTCTGATGTGGGCTTCGACCCAATAATGATGCTTCCTCCGAACCTGTTCCTGGAGAGGTTCACTTCCAATAAGGTTGAACTTGACCAGAACCAACTTGGCACATGGCCTTGTAGGGAATTCCCAGAGAGATCAAGAACTTGCAACTTGGACATGTTTCTCAGATAACCCCATGAAATTGTGCCGCTAAGGTTTTGGGAGGGAAGTACTATTCTGGTGAGATGAGAGTGTGAGCAGTGGGAACCTCGTTTTTGGAACCAGGAGGAAGGGTTGAAGCCGGAGACAGACTTGAAAGCCTTTGAAACCAAGTCATTCTCTCCACTGTTGCATGAAGATTCCACGAGTGAATACAGACCTAGAAGAATCAAGAATCTGAAAAAGGGCTTCATTTTGCTCTACTGTCACAGTTTTCTGTCCTACAAAGAAAAAGAAAATAAAAAGTGGTTCCTCTCCTCTGCTCTATTGGGGTTAAGTTTCGCGGTTATAGAGAAGTGGGAACTGGTAAGGAAGGAACGGCGTCATGGTTTGACGGAGTACTAACGGCACTTTAACATGTAAGGGGATAGCAATTTAACGGAAGTTAGAGTTATATTTTTAAAAAAAATATTTATAACATTACCGCTCGGTAATGCGGTGATTGCGATTTTATATTATTTATTTATTTAGACATATGAATTTATTTTAAATGTTTGATTAACTTCACATCGCGAGTTTCCAAGATTTTAAGGGGCCAAGGCTGGGCATGGAATGCAGGGATGTTTGCTTGTTGGGCATGGTTTGATTGAGGGAAACTGTGAGATAAGAATATGAAGTATGAAATTGTGGCCCTCAATCTCAAGAAGATTTGAAGATGGCTTAGTGTGCTTGAAATTGATGGGACCCTCCCAGTTCATTTATTTCGGATTCAGAGGCATTAAAGATCCGAATAGCATATGATGCTCAAGTGGGATGCTAGAGTTGTTCAGCTCAGCCATAGTTCCTCACAAATGACTTGTCCAAACAAAGAAGTGACAACACTTGGTGCGCTTGCAAAGTACGAAAATGCAATTCAGCCGACATGAACAAGAAGCAGCAAGTTACTTATAAATCAAATTTTTGTATGTCATAAATTATTCGATGTATTAATATAATATACACACACATCATTCACTAGTGGCTTGTTATATTATTGAGAGTGTTTGATTTTCTATGTCGGTTTGCTTGCAAAAGGCAAACCTATATAGAACATTGTTTTTGACGAAGTGATCCTTAGGTTAGTCATGCATGAAGAAAATCAGAGTAATCACCAGAGAGCAATCGTAGTTGGATGGCACCTATTCCATTCCAGCGTGTTTCATCTTTTTGACAAAGCAAGGGAGCTTTATTGGCTTAAACTAAGACTAATTGATCGATTATTGAGCTATTATAAAATAAGATAAAATAAAAGAAACTGTGTTGATGGCCATGGTTGAGTGAACAATAGAATACAGAATAAGAGAGTCAAATGTGGAGAAGGGTCAAACACCAATTGGGACATTCTCTGTCCACCATCTAGTTGCTTGGAGAAAAGCAAGTCACATGCAAAAAATTACAAAATTACAAAGACCTTGACTCAATAATGCTCCATCTTCCACTTAAAAAGTCCTCATCAGTCACGAAACCCTTTTCTGGTCCCCCTTAATTCCTTCAATTGGCAAACTTTACCCACGTAATTTGTTCCAACACGGTAATTAATTAAAGCAGAAAGGAAGATATCTAGAAATAAGCAAGAGCGCTCAACCAGTCAAATTAATATTAATTAAATTACGACAACATTCAAGAATATAAGAATGAATTTGTAATTAGCAGCAACACCTAGACAAAGTAATTCAACATGTTTAATTTCTTTTTCATTCTAAATTCAAGCCATATACCATAATTGAGTTGAGAAGGAATTAGAGTCAAATATATTTTAAGAGCTCAACCCAAATGATTTGGAGGATACAGTTAAAAAAGTCTAGACAAAGCTAAGAAGAAATTTTCTTATAATCCGTCAAGTCCCTCTAAAATTTAAGAAATACGAGATGAATTAATTTTGTTAAAATTTATTTAATTTTTCTAATTTTTTTTCTCTGCTCAAGTAATCATTTTGCTGTTTTAGGATTTACTCTATTTTTTGTTTCCTTCCTCTAAGTATTTATATCATTTTTATCATATATAAAAAATAGAGAATATTTTGTAAGAATCCTTGTGAAAGTTTTTTCCTTCCCTCAAAATAAGGTAGATTTCACTTTTAAATTCCATAAAAGTCTTAACAAGCCCTTACTTGTAACTAGAAAATTCATCAAACACAGAATGAGGTTTTCGAAAGAATCAGGACAGGGAAAGCAGGAAATGACAATTAGATAGCAATGGTACGTTAATGAAATTATTTCCAGCTGCTACATGCCATCTCACCTGCTCTGACACGTGATATTGCCTTATTTCTTTTGCCGCTTCTAAATAGTTGGAATATTATCAAAACATTAAGCCTGAAGAAGAACAAGAAGAAGAAGCGTGAAGTGTGGCAATGCTAGCATCATTCTTGGCCACACACCAACTTGCTTCTACATTTTTTTATCTCCAATGTCATAGTTGCAACAATGGCTATTAACCATAGAGAAAGAAGATTTGTTGGTTTAAATGTTGCCATTAAGGAGAGTTATGTTGAAGATGTGGGATGTGTTTCTTTAACAAGCTCTTTGATCACTTGGTTTTGGTTGGATTTTCTTTTGCTCTTTGCCAGAATATATAGAATATGATCACCTCTTCGATTTCTGAAATCGCTTTTTAGCGTATTGTTAAATAATCAATTCATTTGTTATTTACTAAACAAGTTGTGTACGGTTTTCTATATTAACTGAGACTAGCATAAATTTAAATTTATAATAATAAGCGTGTTAAGAAAAGGTATATAACTTAATAAGTAGTATTGTCTCAACTTAGATATAAAATTTACAGGAATAAATTAAAAATTATTTAATAATTTTGATTATAAAATTTATTTTAAAAGATAAGAAAATAGAAAAAGGTTATAAACAAATTTCATGAGATCAAATAAGCTTGATCTTTTAAAAACTTCCTTAGAAAGAACAACAATTATAATTTCGGGCATAGAGATAGCTTAATTTTTGTTAAGTATTTAAATTAATTTCTACGAAATAGGAGGGACATTTTGATTGCTAAACAATAGTTATTTAGTTTTTCAAAATTATAAATGTGTGACACTTTAGTCATTTAATTAACTTTTAAACATAAAATCAAATATCAATTTAATTCTTAGCAAAAACGTTAGTAATTAAAAATTGTCAGCAACTTGGATATATGAAAGGACTAAAAGTGTTCTATATAATTGTAATCTTGAGAATTGAGATATTAGAATATTAATTTTCTTCTTAAGATTAAACTATTTTTAAGGATTATTTGACATTCGCTCTTTTGTTAATAAAGAAAAGCCAAATCAATACGAATAATGGATTAAAATTATTCCTAAAGCCATATATGATCAAAGATGTAAAGCATATGGCTTTTTTCTTCTTTTGTTTATCATGTTAATATAATTTATATGAACACACAGATGTGTGCGTGATTGTGAAAAATTTTAATGCATATTAAAAAATTCAATAAATTAAATAAATACAATCAACTCATCTTTCCAAAATTGATATAAGTATTTATTTTCTATTCTTTAATTTATATTAAAAGACTTTGTTTATAAAATAAGTTTGGAATTTTTTTATATAATGAGTTTGGAAATATTTTAATTCTAGTTCATTTACAAAAATTAATAACCAAAATATATTAATTTTTTTTCAATCAAATTAGAAATTTATTTTAATGTATGAATCTCAAAATAATCCAAACAAAATTATTAATGGCTTTGATTAATTTTTAATTTTAAATGTGAATTTAAATGGATGAAAGCACTGAAATGATATTCTTAATCTTGAGGAATCAAACAAGTGATTTTTTTTCTATAATGATTATACTTTTTTTTTTTCACATTTAATCGTTTTATTAATATTTTTTTTACGTTTATATTCAGAATGAATTAAAATCATTCTTAAATCTATCTATCGCAGAAACAAATATAGTAAAAGATATGTATTCATTAAAATGTTACTATAAATTTAAATAATATTTTTGTTTTGTTTAACATATTTATATGTGTTTATATTATACATGTATATGAGTATATATGTATAATTGTAACATTAATTTATTAAATGTAATCAAATTCTATAAATTAAAATTTAATTGCGTTTAAATATATTTTTAGGTGCTTTTATTTTAAGAAATTAATAACCTAAATGTATTACATATTTGTCAAGGAAACATATGAAACTCAAAATAATTTAAAAATATAATTTGTTATTTGATTTTTTTTTTCTTCAAATGTTAACTTAAATGGACAAAAGGTTAAAGCATTCAATATTTATAATTTTGAAAAATGAAATGATTATTTATTTTAAATTAAAGATCCATTTAATTTTTAAAGATTAGTTTGGAATTTACACTTTTTATAAAAAAATTGGTTTTATATATATTTTTTGCTATAAAAATTGATTTTGTTGTTAATATTAAGAATTAACTAAATCTAATATTCTTAAAAGTACAAACGTTAAAAGATATAAATCAAAGTTATATTTTTTTTCATATAAATCCAAACTATCAAGATTAATTATAAAGATTAAAGCGTTTAATTATTTTATAAATTTATCCTACAGTTAGTGTTATTATAGTGAAATCTTTTACATATTATTATATAAATTAGTACATAGTTGTTGTAAGTGGTATTGATCTTTCTTAGTAATCACATATAAATATAGTTGAATAAGATCCGTTCGTACGAGGGTTTTTTTTTAATTATGATTAATTATTTATTTATTTAATTTATTATTAAATAAATTTTAAAATTTTTGAAGGACTAATTTTTAAATTTAAATAATTTCGCTTGGTCCAAAATTTTATTTAAATTTTTACTTTAAATATATTTTTCAATGTTGTCCATTTGATTTTAATAATTAGTCATGTTATACACATACAGTAGCGTTGAGTTAAATTTTATTAATAAATTTATTATTTAACAAAAAAAAAATTATTTTCTTGATCGTTTCTATATTTGTCCTACACGTAAACCCAACAGTTTTATATTGTACAAGAGAAAGTCACATCAATATCTAAGACATAATTTCGTTATCTTATTTCTTTTTAACTTATAGTTTTTTAATTATACATAAATTAGAAAAAAAATCCCACGATGCATGAAATATTGACTAGTTTATAGTGACATGATATCTCACAAAAATAAACTCATGACTTCATCCAATTTGCATAATTAGAATTATTGAATAAAAATAAAAATTAATGAAATATATTTAGAATGATAATGATTCAATGAATTAAAATTAATATATACATACTTAATCATTTTAAAAATAATTTTACTTTAGCAGATTCTTCTCCTTAACTTTGAAGGCATGTATTGCAAGAAAACGATATGGAAAAGCCTTTATACAAGATCAAATTAAATTGTTAATGGAAATGAGTAAAAAAGACAAGTTGTGAAAAAAAGTGTGAAGAGTTTGGAGTGGAATATGTGTCCATTATTCCATTCTCTTTCTCACAGACAAATTGTAAAATCTGAAAGTACACAGAAAGCAAAAGAAGAAGACATGGCAAAGCTTTGGTGTCTCTATCTCTGCTTTCCTTTGCTCTTACTCATTCCCTCACTCACTGCATCATTTCATTTGCCAACCAACAATGAACCATTCCTTGTGACGTGTCTCACCAAGTGATGTTCACTCACTACTGATTTGATAATTCTATACTATCCACTTCTTCACTTTTATGTGCCAAATTCACACGCTGCGTCTGCATGGCTATCACCAAAAACACACTCTTGAATCTACACTAGATAGTACATACTCAAACAGAGTTTTCTGGGATCATATTCTGCTTCTATTCCCATGTCCCATGTACCATGTTTCATGTTGTTGTAGGTTTGCTCTTTTCTTCATCAGCATTTATGATCTATTTATTTTCCACTTGCACCTGAATTATTACTCTAGTGGGTCCTTTAGTTTAGCTTGTGTTGATGATGATTTGTCAAGGTTCTCTTGCTTTATCTGTTTACTTTATTAATTATAGATAGCATCCTCTGTCTTCTTTCTGTTGGTAGCAAGCCCTGCAATTGTTAAATGTACGGCTTCTTGAGAAGAAGAAAATAGGCTTAAATCTTTTGTGGAATCCTACGCTTAAATCTTTGGTTTTGTAATCCATAAGAGATCGAAAATATTATAGGTTGAATGTTACTTTTTACTTGCTAAACTTTCGGTAGACCATAATGGAAGTAGTAATTTAAAATGCAATGATCAGATTGTTCCATCTTTTTTTTTTCCAGAATTTCTTGATTGAATAGAACGATTTTTACTTCATATTCTTTTGCCCCAAGTGCTGAAATCAGTACATGATATTGCCTTGAATCTTGAACTTAGTATTGAGAGGATCTGCATAGAAGAGTTAAGTTGTGGGACATTATGGATGAAGGGAAATTGAATATTGATGCCCCTCTTATGTCTGTGAGGCGTTCTTCTGGCGCATCACCATCCTTAACTGAAGCAAAGAGAAAGACATTAGAAAGGCCACAAGCTCTTCCACACTTTAAGCCAAACGTGACTTTGGATCAGGTAACAGAACCTGTTGCAGTGCCTTTCAATTGGGAGCATATCCCTGGAAGACCCAAGGATGATGGTGGATCTCAATCTCAACCTCCTAGAGAGCCTTCAATTACTCCAAGCCCAAGTTTTCCCCTTGGAAAGCTCATAAATGTTGCCAAAGAACCATTGGAAAAGGAATCTAATATTGCAAATAAATTTAGGAACCCAAGCATATCAAACTCTTCAAGTAAAGTTGATTGTGACAGAGAAAAAAAATATGAGAAAACAAAAAATGTGGAAGAGGATGATGACTATGATAATGATGTTTATTCTGATGCCCTTGACATACTGTCACCTACAGAACCATTATCTATGAACTGTAGTGTAAGTGGATTAGATAATTTGGATGCAAACAAATGTGGAACCTCTTCTACTGATAAACAAACACAAGACTTCATGATGAGCCGTTTTTTACCTGCAGCAAAGGCTATGACTATTCAGCCTCCTCAATATGCTTCAAGAAAGCAACCGGTTGTGGTTGAACAACCTAGGGAATTTACCAAATTGGTTCGTGAGGAAAAGCAGTCCTTTGTTAATAGACATATCACTGATATTATACCATATACTGCCCATTGTCAAGAGGAAGAAGAAGAAGAAGAAGAAAGTGAAGATGAAACCAATGATTATGCAAACATTTCAGCTAAAGGTTGCGGTTTACTTCCCCGGTTATGCGTTAGAAATTCACTGTGCCTATTAAATTCAGTGCCTGGGACAAAAATGGGACACCAGTTTACCTTTTATTCTGCCCATGAGGCTGGAAAAACTGATAAAGGTTCTCAAAATCGCTCTTATAGACCAGCTCCAGCTATAAAAAAGGTAAGAGCTACATAACTCTTATTTTTAGCATCAAATTTTGGAATTACATTGCACCCTTCGATAGTCAATAGTACTCTTAATCTTCTCACTTTGAATTTTCACGAGCTTATCACATGAATTTTGTGCCTATCCTCCTCTCCATAAATATTTACAAGAATTGATATTGATGATGTCCCACCTGTTTAATACTCATCAAGAGAAAATGGCAAAAAATTTTGACGCGACAAGGTCATGAAAATTCAATATTATTAGATCAATTCCCAGACACCCTCCTTCATTATATGAGCATTCTCACCAATCTAGACTCAACTCATTTGCCCACAATCATGAAATTTTTCATGCAGGCTTGGGATGCTATTCATAAGAGCAAATCAAGCTCTGGAGACATGCACGAGGTAAGGAAAAAATGGACTAGTGATTCAAACAGGTACACTTACTCAGGTGAATTGAAACATATAGGTAGACTCTCACCCTTTCGTCGTTCAAGAGCTGCTGCTGCTGGCATATCTCCTTTTCGAAGTAAGACTCAACCTCTCTTTCCTGAAGCAATGTTGCTTGGTGATTCCAAACGAGTTGAAAATATTAACCATTCTGGCAAATTGAAATTACCAAGTAGAGGACATGCAAGTACTCAAGAGGTGTTAACACAAGGAGCCAAAAAAATATCAAATTCAGGAAGTCTTGCAATTGAAAAAACATTGTACATAGATACTGCTAGTACTGTAAAATTATCCTGCTCAAATTCAAGTTTCTTAGCTAACACACAAAGGATAGACTCTGTGGTAGGGAAAGAAAGAAATTCCACAGTAGATTCTTTTCAAGACATGAAACATCTACAAGCTTTGGAGGAAAATTTGGATTCTCAAGAACTGAATTCTATGGATGCCAATCCTTCAACTTTGTCTAGTATGTTTCATCTCATGGCCAAAGAAGATGAAGATGAAAGACTGAACAAGGACCAAGAAATTAACCAAGAATCCATGTCCTTGCAACTTGTGCAAAGTTCATTTGACAAAGATACAGCATTCAACAACAAGCAAATTGTAGTAGCTGATGATTCAAGAAAAGTTAGTGCTGAATATGTTTTGCATCATCTTGCCCCTCCACTGCCAAAGTCACCTTCTGAATCGTGGCTTTGTCGTGCCCTGCCTTTAGTTTCTTCTAAGAATTCATTCCCATATTCGAATCAAGGTACACATTACAATGCTAAAAGGCAGGGTTTTAGTAGAACATCCAGCTATACTAAGTGGGAAACAATAGTGAAAACTTCAAATTTGAATCATGATCATGTATGTTGTTCTAAGGTAACTCATTAATCTCTTTAGCCCTTTATTTTAATCTTCCTCGTCGGTGAAATCATAATGATAAAGGACGAACACTGACATTTAGCTTTTCTGCACAGGAACTAACAGTGTATAAATCTCAGCATTCAAAATCTTAAAGATGGAACTTTGGCTTGTATTGTGTATATCATGTAATGGTCCAAGCTTTTTATATCCTTTATTTTATCAGGCTTGTGGGATTTTGGTTCTCCCCCTATTGGTTTTTGGCACGACAACGTAGGTAACTACCCTTGTATTGTGTAATGTACACTTTCATTTCTTCTAGTTTTTCAGTTTCTGTTGATTTTGTTTCCATTTATGGAAAGCCCTGACACCTTTTCATGTTCTTGATATCAGTATAGTACAGAGGAATCAATATCATTTTTAGTGACCACACAGATTCTTATGGACTCTTCTTTCGGTGGATTCAAGTTTTCACAAGCTACCCCAAGAGAACTGCATATGCACTACTGTTCGCATTTTGGCTTTGTTATTATGAATATGATATTCTCATTGCTACTCATTGTCAGCATTTTACACGTGTTAATATAAAACGACATTAATTCTTTTTAACATTTTACTCTTCCTTTTCTTTCACTTTCTACCATTGTAATTGGTTAAAATAACTCATTAAGTGAAATAAGCTCTCTATAAAATTCTTCACATTGATGTCAATAAACCTATCATGTAACAAGGCAAATTAGGTCTCATCAACCATAGTCGTGACATATTTATCTAACTTATACGTGTACTCTTAAATTTGAATGTCATGAAAATTGGAGGAGAAATTTTATTTTTGTAATAAATTTGTACAACTTTTTATACAGCAGAAAAAGAGATAAGAAAAAGAAGTGGATAGTAAAATAATAGATGTAATAAAAAGAAATACAAGAATAAGATTATAAGAATGTTAAAAATAAATACTTACATTTTTTAATAACTTTTTTATAACATTTAAAATTTATCAATCAAATTGTTAATTATATATTATTTTTATGATTTTAAATGTCAAATTTTACATAATTTAAACTTGTGTAAGTATAGTATTCAAAATTGGTATTTATTTATATTTTAAAAATATAATACTTAATTATTAAGATATATAAATATTCAAGTTTTACGAAACATGCCTAAGTTGTGACTCATATATGTGTATGTTTTTAATTAATTTTTCAATTAAATAATATTAATGTAGTGCATATAAAATTTATTAGGTTTGTACTTGATTCTCTAATATAAAATCCAGCTCCCTGACCTTTGCGTGTAGGATATCATTTTCTTTTTTCATTGCTGGCAGTTTTTTTGTTTTTTTTTTTGGGGTTAAATTTGACTGCTATAATGTGGAAATCGGGCCGGGAATTTTGTTAAAAACTCTCAAGTCCAAGTTTAAAAATATTGCTTCAAATGATCTTTAAAAAACATCTAAACTACTGATCGATCTTAAAATTTGTCATTGGGCTCAAAATAAAACCCAAAATGACAATATTTTTAAACATTACAGTAAAATTTAAATCCGTGAATTGGTAATTTTCCCAACGTGAAAATTAATAGAATATTTTAGATTTTGAGTACATAGAATCATTATTATTATTAATATTATACTAAATAAATATAAATATTTTTTAATTTTTAAGATATTAAATAATCATAACTTTTAATTTAAGAAGAATAAAAAAATTTACTAAAATATGTTTAGATTTTTCTTGATTTGCAAAGGCTGGGATGGGGCACAGGTTAGGAAATGTAATCATCTGCCCCGACCAAACCTGATATAAAAAGTAAAATAAAATTATAACTCTAATATATATATATATTAGAGTTATAATTTTATTTTACTTTTTATAATTACTAAAAATAAAGTTAAAATTTTCTTATTTTATTAAAAGTATAATTTAGTTCTTAATTACTTATTTTCAATAAATAAACAGTGAATGAATTTTTAACAGGTTCTCCAACCTCAAGTCTTTGCTAGGGGCAGGGACGAGGAGAGCTAAACCTGTTGTTATATGGATTTGAATTTTTTCCCGTTAACGTGAGAATTGAACATCATTTTAAGTGAAAATGAATTTGTTTAAGCAAAAATAATAAAAAAAATTATGCAAAATTTGCTTGAACTAAATTTTTTGAACGGACAATTATAATTATAATTTGTAAGAATAGAATTAAAATTTGATGTTTCAGAATAGAATTAAAATTAAATGTACAATTATAATTATATATTCTAATTATTTGCATCAATATTTTGTGATTTTGAACGTCTGTCTGTGACTTGTACCCATGATTAATTTGTGAAAGTAACCAGCTAGGTTTGTATACCAGCAGTGCTAAAGTTAAAGTTCTTAATTAAACAAAATTTAACTGAATTCTTGGATTGGCTGAGGAGTAGAAAGTGAGGGAGGGATTTACTTGTCTTAAACTGTGTTGATCAGAGAGAGAGAGAGGAAGAGAGTACGTACTCTTTTATGTATCTGCCAATAATTAATCTACTCAAAACTCCATGTCAACTAAAGTGATATTCAACAAACCAAAAACACAATGCACAAGGTAGGGGAAAAAAATTCCATGCCCATCATAAAACTCAGCTTGCGTGCAACTCAATTTCTAACCTGAAGCTACTAAATCCATTCATTTTCCGATTTAAATCTTCTCTCTCAAGGTGCAGAAAGTACTGGAGCTCTTCCTGTAAGGCCTGATCGCCATGCATGCACATTTTCACTCTTGTTCAACTAAATTTATCCCATGTACTTGCACAGCGGCGAAAGGTTAACGCCGGATCTTGTTACACTATGTGTTATTTTGCTTCACTCTTTTATTATACTTTGTGCCTCATCAAACCAAAACTTGCACAAAAAAAAAAAGTCTCACTTGGGAACTGGATCACTCAACCACGACCACATTCATTTTACACTCAAATCTGATTTATTAATATTATTAATTTTTTTTGGGTGGAGGGGAGAAACCCTATGTATTGTAGCGTCATGTAATTGTGTAAATTTGTTTCAGTATCTCGATATATATGAATGGCTAGGTTGTGGTATTTGCATTATATATTGACATGGCTATAATTCTAAGAAAGTGAAAGTTTCGTGTTGATTTCTTGGGTTTCTTTGCAATAATCAGTCTTGCCATCATTGTTGTCATCTCTCTGACTTAAACTCAGCCGCAAATCAGGCACCCATTGCTTGTCTTTCTGCAATTTTTCTTGATTCAACTGCACACAAATGAAAAGGAAAATTCTATAAATGCTGGAAAAAAGAAAAATAGTTTAAAAATACTTTCGAACTCTGAAAACATGACTTTTCTTCCCCTATAAGAATGAGTCCTTTTTTAAATTTTATTTATTTTTAGTTCTTTCAATTTATATAAAGAATGTACTCGTAATCCTTGAGAAACTACATCTCTTTTATTAAATATAAGGACTAAAAATAAATAAAATTTAAATAAATAGTAAAAATGAAAAATAACATTTTCAAGAATCAAAATATATCAAGGTCAAGAAAGAAAAGGATAAAGATGAAGATACAGATCTTATTTTCTTAAGCCTAAATGTTACCTTAATCCGGAATGGGGGATCAAATTCTAGCTTTAAACTGTTGGAACGATTGCGATGTTCAAAGGGGTTTGATAGATGTTCCCTGATTCTTGTGTTGTTTCCAAAGTTCAACTCACTTGATCTAAGAGATGCTGGAGTGGTCCCAAATTGATGTACAACAGATTGTGACCCAGTATTAGCAGTAATATTGGTAGGTAACCTTTTCTTCCACTGATGATTGTTCATAATTTCTAAAGGAGGCCACCTTTTCTCCTCAAGAAATTGGCTTGGTTTCATGGGTGCAATGCCAGCAGTATCCATTTGTTGAATTTGGTTTGAAGATATTGATCTTCCTTGCGTTTGAAGGGTTGTTGAGACAACTTCGTTGCTAAAGTAATTTGGTCTTCTAAAAGGTTGATGATTGAAGTACAATTGCTGCTGCCTAGTGATATCAAGGTATTGTAAATATGGATTACTCTATATAAAATGATGTTGAATTTTATCCTTGCAAACTTGGAAAACATGCATGAGGAATAAAATCAATTAAAATGTGTGCATGGTTTACCTTGAATCGATGGCCTTTGAAGGTGAATGTGATAGGGAAGAGGGATGCAGGAGACCCTGGAAAAAACTGTTGTCGTTGTAATCACTTGCCAGAATAATTCCACCATTTCCCATCTTAAAATGTTGACGAGGAATCAAGGGCTGATGGGCTACATGAGAAGTACGACCAAGTTCATGGGTTGATTTGAACGCTTGACTTAATACTGCAATTGAATATGGATCAAATAATGTCATCGAAAGTAGAAATATGGCTAAGGTAACCCTAACCCTAAATCTTAATAGCACTTCGCTTTAGGTCGTGGAAATTGATGGTTTTCAGATAAAAAGTTTGAGTTTTGCTATTTAGTACGATAAAGAGGGGTATGAATTTGTACAAATACACGTACGGATATTACTGGTTATCTATAAATTAAATAAGGAAAAAAAGTAAATTTTAATTGACAGAAATCATGGATTGAATTCATGGATAACTAAATGTTCACACGAGTTTTGTATGTATAACACTTCTTTCGTACTACAGATTATATGACACGCTGAACATTTTATAACTGCAATTCAGATATTTGTTTAATATTAACCGCATATTACTATTCTTTGTTTAAATTCCTACCCATTATTACTGTTCCTTTATGTATTTTACGCCTCAATTCTTAGTATGCCTTTTCTCTTCTTCATACCTTAAGTGTTACTCAAATATATAAATTGAGGATGAACACATTGCCTATGAGTTTGTTTAAGTTTTAAAAATAGAGCATACGTACTAATAGTATCTTACATGATTTTACTAGCTAAATTTAATATGAGGTTTTTATCTGTACAAAATGTGCAAAAGGCTACTCAATTCATATTGGGCCAATTAACTTTGAGCTCCATCAGATATATAGGGTCAAGAAAGTTTACTTATTTAGACTTTAAAATTAAACTCAGAGCATGATTCAAACTTAATTAAGAAAAAGTATGAGCGTGTTAAGTTAAGAATGTTCAAAATTAATTTAAATTTGAAGTGTAAATTGCATATTTTGATGGACTTATTAAAATTGATCCAGTCAGACTGACCCATTTTATTAACTTTAATCCATACATATGCATGTTAGGTTAAATTAACACTGTTGCATTCATGAAATTGGTTTGAAGCCAATATTCTTAAAATCGCTAAAAATGTAAAAAATAAATAAAAAATATTACAATCTGATATCTAAATATATAACTATTTACAAGATCAACATACTGTAGTCAAATTAAATTGTTTTTTACGATATGTATCATAAGCTTTTGTGAAAATTTAATGTTTTTGTAATATCGTTAGAAAGAAGTTAGTTTATAAAGAACTTTTTAAAAGTTACAGAAATAGCTTATGCTCATGTTGATTACTATTTGGAACTTAAAGTGAGAGCAGCTTGTAATTATTTTTGCTCGTATTGGTTGGCCATCTGATATGTTATTATATATAAAAAAACCAATTTTTACCAGTATTTCTTAATATTATTTCTTCATGAGTTTATTAAAAGATATTACCTTACTGTGTGCAAATATATACTCTCTTTGACCATTTTTGTGGGAACTTTTTAGTAAGTTTCCTTTCCTTTCTATAAATTTAAGTGTTTATTACGTTAATTTTTCTTTTTAAAAAACCCTTAACTATTGTGGTAAATTATTTTTTAGATTTTTTCTCCCACATGAAGTTAAGAGGAGACTGATCACAATTATTTCTCTCATTCACCTTAATAAATTAGGTAAAAATAGATTATTTTATTTTAAAAAGAATTATATAAATTGCTAACAAATGTAGTATTATTAAGTAAGTTAATTAAATTTCTTAATTCTTAGAAAGTAGTTATGGAGTATAGATGTATTAATAATTTCGATAAGTGTACTTGGTGATAAATTTAAAACAAGATTATGTAACAATTTACATGAGAATTGAAATGGATTAATTAAGTGTCTGTTGGCGGAGGTATGTGGTATCATTCTCATTGTGCTTCTAAGCTGATCAACTGTGTCTCTATCAAGGTGGGAACTATGCATACGGAATTAGGCTGTGATTATCTGTGTATATATTCCTAGTTTATTATTGTACACAAAAAAGGATTGATTTGCATTAGCACATACGCTTAGAGAGATTTAGGATAGGATATAGTCCTCACCTTGCCCAGCCTCGTCGAGTTTCTTGCTTCGATACATCTGAAATAAAAATTGCGTATATGTGAATTTATTGATGGAAATAATACATCAACTTTCAAGGGAAAAAATGTAAGTCTAATTAATTAATAGTATTGTATCAAAACCCTCAAATTTTATTTGCTACCTGCAAGTGACTCTTGACATGAGCAATGCTGAGCCCCCTCACATTCATCAGCTGAAGAACCAACTTGGGTGTTGCTCCTGCACCAAGCAATGCAGAGAGTTCAATTAACCAAAAAATTGTACCATTAGGGCAAATAATTACTAGGCTTTTCTTTATATAATCCATGCCTATCATATTGAGAAGATATACCAATACTTACTCTCTTGACCTCCAAGCCTTTCAACGGCATGCACAAACGATAGATGAAGTTCAGGAGTCCACCGAAGCCGAGGCATCTTTGATCTAACATATTGTCTCACACCACCTCTTCGTTCATTGTTTCCTTCTCTTGTTGTGCTGCTACTTTTATTAGTTGAAGTACCTTCATCCCTTGCTTTATCATCATAGGCTTCATCATTATCATTGTTATCTTCACTACTAGCTTCTTCATTCAAGTCAAAGGATGAGCATCTCTGGGAAGATCCCTTTGAATTAATGTCATCAGCCTGTTCCTCACTCTTCTGATATCCATCTGACATATTCAATGTTGTTGCTCAGGATTACCTCCACCTTCAATTCTTTACTGTATACAAATTATGAATAGCATTTCATGTCTGAAACAAACAGGAAATCAATATTTAAATATGTTCAATAAAAGGAGGTAAAGTGAACAGTTGAATCATAGAATTTGTGAGAACAGGCTGTAGTTTTTGTACAATAATTACCAGTCTTTAAAACTCCACGGTAAAGTAACACTGATTAGAAATAAAAAGTGTGTACCAAATAAAGAGAACAATTAACAGTGGGAATTCATATATGGCATGAGATGTTTATTAGAGATCCATATCATATAGTAATAGTAGTAGGTCAAAAGTCAAGAATTTTAATATAAAGAGGGCAACCAACTTCTCTACCGTGAAGCTGTGAATAAAATTTCTGAGGGATATGTCAAGTTCAGATCTACACATTTAAGGGGAAAGGAATTAACTTAAGGAGTAGAGGAAGAAATTTATTACTATTAAAAAGATGCAAATTGTATGAACAGACGCTATAGTTGATCAGGTTAGGTTATGTCATTACTTAATCCGGAAACATAACAAGAAATATATTGTTTTAATTTAACCTCAAACAATAAATTTCAAAAGTTTCATATAGGGGGCTGATCAGAATATTTGCAAAACACAGTGACATGATTGTGTTCATAAACTCAAACACATATTCATGTATAAATCGTGGGTAGAGAATCAACAGATAACCAAAAGAGATAGAGACGGGGAGAGAGAGAGAGAGAGAAAAAGAGAGAGATTGTTCATTCAGCGTTAAAAAACTTTTTATAATAAACTTTCTTGCCATTTAATCTATTCAGACTTTTTTATATATCTTGTGTAAAATGGATTTCAAGACAACAGCAAGGTGCGCTAACTCACCTGTTTCTTCAATTTAAATAAAGATTCTTAATTTCTCTAGATATTTGGAGAGGATATGTGATGAAGAAAGAGATTGCCTTAGACACACTTACAAAGATGTGTTCAAAACACTGCTTATCATTTTGACAAAACAAAAAACACTGCTTATCATCAAGCTGCAAAACACATCTTCGGTTGGGAAATTAATGCACTTCAGAATGAAATATGCTGTGGTTAAAACTTTTCTTCAGAACGGTGGTTAAGAATTGATTAAGAAATTCTCAACTATGCATAAATCTCAAGTTTGTTTCATAAGATAAGAGAAATATACAACATTTTGGGGAAATAAAAATGGAGGAACTATTTTATAGTCATAAGATTAAACAAATTAAGAGAAAGGAATAATCAAGATCCCAAATACACCACAAAAAAGAGAGGAGAGGGTAGAAACCCATGAAGACGGAGAATTATACATAAATTGATACCATTAATGATTGCTCAAAAGACAAAAGCAAAAAAACTAGAATACTTTGACGTTGAGTGTTTTTGCTTTTCTCTCATAAGTACTAACCATTCACGATGATGATGTGCCTCTTTTCTTTCTCTTCCAAAAAGCCTATTCAAGATGATGGCGTGCCTCTCTACTCCTTCTACTCAAATAAGCCTATTCTTTCTCTTCCAAAGCTATTGATCATCAATATATATATATATATATGCAACTGCATATCCAAACATATCTGGAATCACTCAGTCACCTCTCTCTGGAAAAACTCCACCAATTCATGGACAGATTGAACTGGATTTAGTCTTTGATCATGCTGTTCTTTGATATGGGTGAAGGGGGAGGGAGCTAGAGAGAGAGAGAGAGAGGATACCACTTGATACCTGCAGGACTTTTTTTTTGGGATGTCTTTTTGACATATCATTCAGCAGAAGAATTAGAGTCATAAGTTTAAGATATTGGAAAGGCTTTTATGGTTCCAAAGAAAAAAAAGAAAATTGAGAATCAACAATATTCGGACAGGCTACTTGTTCTCCTTAAATTGTAATAAACGTACATAATGGATACAGATGTTGCTGGTCCCTTTTGTACTGTTGCAAATCATGTGACAATTCCTACCCTTTTCTCCTCTACTCTCTTCCTCTAGGCCTTTCTCTCAGTCCCTTGACAGTTGTAAAAATCAATCTACCTCTCTGTCTGTGTCTCTAGCTAGCTTGCTAGCTCGTGATTATCTTAATTGTTTGACCTGTGCTAGGGACTTCTCACTTCGTTGTTATGATACATATTGCCAAACAATAACATAAATTGTTTATATGTTTTACATTTTCTATAATTTTATTCTATACCTCACTTTTATGGAAAATGAAAGTAAAAAGGTAATTTTTATTGAATAATGTAATTGTTCTTTTTTCTCTTTTTTTCGCCTAAAAAGTTAAAATATAAGTGCATAAAACGAGATACGATTATAGGTCGTTCAATTCACCATGCTAGCTCTATAATCTTAAATAGGTGCATGTATGTTGTGGGGCCCGTTCCTTCATCCACCTTTCAATTTATTCTCACCTAAACTAAGACTTTGTTCCCATTTCAATACCACTGTTTTTCTGTCCCTATGTGCAATTTCTCAATCGCTACTCTCATATTAAGTTTTAAAATATTTCTTCTTGGAATACTATATGTTTCCATAGGCTTCTTTGCTATGTATGTGACTGTGACGTCTGATTTTTGGTATGCTTTGAAAAATAGGTATCGATTTTCTTCTTTTTTTTTTGTTCATTTTCAGTAGAAAATTTTGTACTTATTTATCTTTCTTTTAAATAATTGGAAATAACATTGGTTATTATCTTTTTAATTATACTCTTATGTTTACTTAATTTTAAAGTAGTTTACATACTTCTTAGTAATATGAGAGAAATAATGAAATAATTCATATTAAAAGTTATTTTGAATGTAAATATTATTAGTTACCTTTTTATACTGATTTTTAAAATAAACTTACAAAAAAGAAGTAGATAATATTGGTCATTGGACAACCTTCGTTAGTATAATGCAGTAATGTTAAGGGTAAGTGGATTTTTCATAATTAGCTAATTTCGGTGGGAATATGTGCAGAAATATTAATAAGAATATGTATAGTTTAGTTTTGGTGGCACTTTCAACAGTAACCGATGGCAAAATACGCGTTATATAATTGCACAATTGACAAATTTTAATTTACTTTTTATAAGTGCATGCATGGGCTATATGACTAGAATCTTGACTCCAACTTTGTAGACTTTCCATGCATGGGGAAAGAAAACAAAAGGCAATAGGTATTTCTCTATAAACACATATTTAAATAAGGAAGTCCAAATCCAATCGTTATATTATAATCAAAATAATTAACATGGTATTACTGGACTTATTAATATATTGTAGCTAAGGTCATTTATCCATTATGCAAGACTTCACTTTTTAACCAATGAAGTAATTTATTGCTGTAAAGATAATGACTGTAGGAAGGAAAGCATGTATATTTGTTAGCAAAATGTTTGAAAAGGTGAGCTTTCTTCTAAAGAAAATCTATAAGCTGGAAGGGGAAGTTGAAATTTATATCCACTTTATTGACTTCTGATGCACCCAACACTTTTATTTTGTTGAATACCGCAACCATATATGTGGTTTAACACAGTGATGTCTTTTTCAATCCCAGATATATTACCAGTTTTCCTACTCCAGGTTTCTTGTTAAATGTTGAAAAATGCTCTAATTTTAAGGTGATCACTGATCACAGCCCATCATCACAACTCAAAATATGATATTGCGAATTCTGGTTATATCTATCCTCTGACATGCAATTAATAGGCTATGTGTATTTGGACGCTAGTGTGTCAAAGTTATTATTTCGATGTTGGGTCGATCCCGGCTATAATACATCATGTGCTTCATGTTAGTAGATACATTATCACTATTAAAAGAAATTCATCAATAGTGAAGTTAATTGCGATAGTTTGCTGGGCTTCATAAAAATTAGATCTTGGAATTGGCTAAGAGCAAATTTACTGGGATTTCATCATTCGTTATTTGAAGGGTCTTCGCTATATTTGTTATTTTGTAAATCTTGGACTCTTTGTTTAAACTTTGGGTGTACATAGATTTGGATACTCCTTGTATTCTATTAACTTAATTCAATTTGTTGGCTACTAAAACAATTTTAAAAAATTGATATACCATATAGTTTCCTTCTCTTAGTATAATATAAATTTGTTTGAAAAATCAAATTATTAACATATTCTTTATTTACATTAATAATATGATGTATAGTGCATTTTATTATATATATATATATATATATATATATATATAAATTTTATACTAATAAAACTATTTATTAATATAACATATTATTAAAATAAACTTGTAATGTTCATAAATTAGACTAAGAATTTTATTTTCATTAAATAAAATTATCGATGGAAATATATCTGGTGACTATCCGTTAAGTAGTATATAGATTTTTTTAGTATAAGCTATAAATTATGCATCCAATAAGTTCAATGCACAAGGAACCGAGGGAGACAAGTTTGGTACAAGGAAAATTGGGGGATGGCGGTGTCTGAAAGTAGAAACCAAACAAAGAAAACATGTCTCTCCCATAATATGTGCTGATAATATATATGGCACAAATTTTGATCATTTCCTCTCCCATCTAAAATGGTTTTTACCTTCCAATTAAGAATTTGGGTTGTTTTTGTCCCAAAAGGACAAAGATGGCATGTTCCTTATAGATTGGGACAGCGTTGGAATCAGCTCAAAAAGTAGGTTTGGCTAGATGCTGCCAAACTCCAAGCCCATGCTAGCTCGTTTTGCGTGGCATGTGCGTGTATATATATATATCATCTTAGTGCTCACACAGTGAGTGAGTGTGAGAGAGAAAGTGATGACAGATATTCGAAGAATTAAAGTAAAGAGTTTGGCAGGGACAAAATTACGTGGAAAGGAAGAGAAATAAGAGAGCCTATCAATGGAGATTAAGAAATTTAAAAGCATTGGGTTGGTTTTGTCCTCACGTTTGCATCAGAGTTGACATTTCACGATATTTTCAAATGCTCAAAGCACAAGAATCTTTCAAAGAATTAGGCATCTTTTTTTATTATTTCATGGATGACGACGTCCAACCTAGCATTACATTATACTGACATACCTCAGCTATCTTCAACTATAAAATACTACAAGATATTAAGCATTTCTTGATTGACCCATAAAGGAGAATCATGTCCTATAACAAGCACTCTAAATGAGTTTTATATCAATAATGTGCCAAGCTATTACCCCCTTAATTTGTCCTTTCACGATTTTTGAAACGTTATCTGCTTTTGTTGGTCTTCACAAAAAATAAAAAAATAAAATTTTGTACTTTTGCCCTTATTATTTTGCATATAATAATGAGTGAGAAATCATTATCATAATCCATCTCTGACTGATGATGAATGAATGACTGAAATAATAGGATTATTATAGTTCTAATTTCCAATTACCTGTACTTTCCCTAATGATCAATTGGTCATCAATTTGGAAAGCATGAGATTGGTAAAATAAAGATACATGCAATAGTAATGATACTTATTTGCATTATAGTTTTGTTAACAAGTGACATGGCACTTGTTGAAGAACTAAATAAAAAATAATAATTTTTAAAATATTTAATATATTCTTTACTTTTATTTTATTATATTCAATTTTAAAAGTATCGTTAAAAAATGGTTAGAAAATCCCTTTTAAAATTCTAAATTAGATTGATATTTTTATATATTTGATATAATATTTTATTTATTAAATATTAAGCGAAGTGTCAAGAGTATATTTTTATCAAAAATATATCAAAAGTCTACTTATGTTGTACATTTATTCATAGCCGTTGGCCCTTTTTTTTATTTTGTCCATAAAAACCCGTGTTTAAATAGATCCAACTATAGGGTCGTTGTAAGTATATATGGCAAGTGACTACAATTATGGTGGTCCCTCAGTAGTTACAAGCATATATTATAAGGGGACTGAGAAAAAAGTTCTAAGTTACATTTTATATAGTATAAGCTGTGCCTCAGATTTTATAGTATACTTTTTATTTTATCTCTTTTTTACATGAATATTCACTATTAAGGAAAGTTTTAATGGATCAACTTGTGATTTTCTTATGAAACAAAAATTATCTTATAAAATAAAGAAGAGAAGAAGAGTTTACAACAATGCAAGCACGTGCATAACATCCTTTTCAATCTTTGGAATTGTTTGCTAACCCTCTGTTTTGCATTTATGAAATTGATAATGATAACATGATAGTTACAAGCGAAAAATAATCTTGTGGTTGACATATTAGATTTCACTTTTTACGTATTTAATGGAATAAATTCTAAAATAATATTTGTTGATACAATAAATAAATAAATAAAATGAGTCAAGAAAAAAAATAAAAATTGTTTTATAAATTCATGTTTTTATTATTCAGCTATTATTTCAGAATAATTTAAATAATTTTTCATCATTGTTATTACATATTCTATTTTAAACTTCCTCCATTATAAATTGAATTTTAGAAAATCTCAATAATTAAGCTAGCAATTCCGGTATTTCTGAAGGGGAAAATTAAATTAAGAAAGGTCACTGGCATATATTGTTTAAAAATAAAAATAGAGAAAAAAATAAATATTAATTAGTATTTTGTCACGAGGGACATGTCCAATTGATGACTTACAATATATTATCAATATCTCCTTGGCTTCTAAGGTAAAAGGGAGTGTTACCTAACATGCATAAATTTATTAATGAATATATATTTGACTATTATGGAGTTTCTCAGCTTAATTTTCATCCACTAACGTCAC